ATATTTATGCAAAGTTTCAATCCATTTGAATAAACCCTCGAAGAAAAAAGTGACAAAATTGATTTTGACTAGGGTCGCCCCTAGTCCAAAAATGAAAATGTATTTCCTTCTTGGTTCTTTGCTCAAAAAAATTTTAAGATGTTTTATTTGTATTTGTTTTAAGCACTAGAATATTTATGCAAAGTTTCAATCCATTTGAATAAACCCTCGAAGAAAAAAGTGACAAAATTGATTTTGACTAGGGTCGCCCCTAGTCCAAAAATGAAAATGTATTTCCTTCTTGGTTCTTTGCTCAAAAAAATTTTAAGATGTTTTATTTGTATTTGTTTTAAGCACTAGAATATTTATGCAAAGTTTCAATCCATTTGAATAAACCCTCGAAGAAAAAAGTGACAAAATTGATTTTGACTAGGGTCGCCCCTAGTCCAAAAATGAAAATGTATTTCCTTCTTGGTTCTTTGCTCAAAAAAATTTTAAGATGTTTTATTTGTATTTGTTTTAAGCACTAGAATATTTATGCAAAGTTTCAATCCATTTGAATAAACCCTCGAAGAAAAAAGTGACAAAATTGATTTTGACTAGGGTCGCCCCTAGTCCAAAAATGAAAATGTATTTCCTTCTTGGTTCTTTGCTCAAAAAAATTTCCGAATGTTTTATTTGTATTTGTTTTAAGCACTAGAATATTTATGCAAAGTTTCAATCCATTTGAATAAACCCTCGAAGAAAAAAGTGACAAAATTGATTTTGACTAGGGTCGCCCCTAGTCCAAAAATGAAAATGTATTTCCTTCTTGGTTCTTTGCTCAAAAAAATTTTAAGATGTTTTATTTGTATTTGTTTTAAGCACTAGAATATTTATGCAAAGTTTCAATCCATTTGAATAAACCCTCGAAGAAAAAAGTGACAAAATTGATTTTGACTAGGGTCGCCCCTAGTCCAAAAATGAAAATGTATTTCCTTCTTGGTTCTTTGCTCAAAAAAATTTTAAGATGTTTTATTTGTATTTGTTTTAAGCACTAGAATATTTATGCAAAGTTTCAATCCATTTGAATAAACCCTCGAAGAAAAAAGTGACAAAATTGATTTTGACTAGGGTCGCCCCTAGTCCAAAAATGAAAATGTATTTCCTTCTTGGTTCTTTGCTCAAAAAAATTTTAAGATGTTTTATTTGTATTTGTTTTAAGCACTAGAATATTTATGCAAAGTTTCAATCCATTTGAATAAACCCTCGAAGAAAAAAGTGACAAAATTGATTTTGACTAGGGTCGCCCCTAGTCTAAAATTGAAAATGTATTTCCTACTTAGTTCTTTGCTCAAAAAAATTTTAGAATGTTTATTTGTTTTTGTTTTAAGCACTAAAATATTTATGCAAAGTTTCAATCCATTTGGATAAACCCTCGAAGAAAAAAGTGACAAAATTGATTTTGACTAGGGTCGCCCCTAGTCCAAAATTGAAAATGTATTTCCTTCTTGGTTCTTTGCTCAAAAAAATTTCAGAATGTTTTATTTGCATTTGTTTTAAGCACTAGAATATTTATGCAAAGTTTCAATCCATTTGAATAAACCCTCGAAGAAAAAAGTGACAAAATTGATTTTGACTAGGGTCGCCCCTAGTCCAAAATTGAAAATGTATTTCCTACTTGGTTCTTTGCTCAAAAAAATTTTAAGATGTTTTATTTGTATTTATTTTAAGCACTAGAATATTTATGCAAAGTTTCAATCCATTTGAATAAACCCTCGAAGAAAAAAGTGACAAAATTGATTTTGACTAGGGTCGCCTCTAGTCCAAAATTGAAAATAGATTTTCTATGGTGTGCTTTTGTCAAAAAATTTTTTGGATGTTTTATTTGAATTGACATAATTCTGACATAAATCACATACCAATATTACTTTTTGTAATGCATAGCTTAAAAAAAAAAACCGAAATCTAAAATTTTGACTATCCCATCTCAATTTTGTTCATCCTCTTCACTGTGGAAACCAAAAAACAAATTCTTTATCTTAAAACACTTGACAAAATAGCGACATAATTCAGGATTAATTACTTTTTAATAACATTTTAACATTTACGAGAAAATGTGGTTCAAATAAGTGTGCATTATGGCCGAGATTTGGACCAAAATCAGCTATACTGGTTCATAGTGTTCCCGGTGACAAAATTCAAACTAAGTGTTTCTGTAGCTGACATAATTATGACATAAATTAGGTTTATCTTTTGAACTGTGTCGATATGGGTCTCGGCCGTACTTCACGCCCACCCTTCAAACTTATGCTGAGCAAATCTTGGTCTATCCATAAGACTTTTGATGGTACGGTGTGAATATATCCGCATTGGGTTTCTACCCGATACACTAGTTTATACTTCAGTCGTTCATTAATCCAATCGTTCGTTTTCGTTCAGTTCGACTTTATTTGAATTTGAGAAAACTGTTAATTTCAAAAGTCAAAAAATGTACAGAAAAATATAAAGCTATAGACAAAAGAATTATTCTTATTATAAAAGTCAGAACTGCTTTATAGCTTCATAATTACCATGGCTTTTTAAATTTAGCAAAACATTTGATTTTTCTAGTTGTTAGAGTATAATCATCAAATTTCCTGAAAGCTTATTATTAGCCAAGGCATACGAGCGCCTCAATGCTTTATGGCAAACAGTGATTTCAGAAAAATGGAAGTTCTTCATTAATCATCAATATCATGCTTCTGTGTTTCGCTAATAATTCATAAAAATTATGCCTTTTATATTTTATTGCCTGTCCGTAAATGTGTTCGAAACCTAAATCTTCTTCATTTCCATTCCCATTATTGCACATTAAGGTTGATACTCATAAATGTTGTAATTAAATTCGATATATGTTTGTGCCTAATTTATGTAATTTATTATGCATCATTGTAATACTTAACAACAAAAGCATCAATGAAAATTTTAATTAAAGCACAGCCAAAATTATGTGTGTATCCTTTTCAAGTAGAAATTGGGTAATTAAGGGCTAAATTATTTACTTAATTTAATGCACTATTTGCTCCTTTCTTTTATTTAATTACAGCCAATTGATGGGCATTCAACTGTATTACAGCATAAATGTAATCAACAACTTCGTCAGTAAACATACCTGATTAAATAAATTATCGTGAGGGTGTCACTTGATACCTTTTTTTGTGCGCTTTTGTCTACCGCTTATTTATGACTAAAACTCCTTCAGTCTTGATTATGACAGCTTTCTTTTGATAAAATACTTAGAAGGTATGGGGTCGTTTACTTATTACGTTTATGACATTTCTCAAATAGACTCCTTTAATCTCTAAAAGTTGAATATCACTTATCACTGAACCCCAATTAATAATCGACTGCTCTGTTCTTACTAATGACTTCCCCTTAAGTCGTTTAAGGAAGCAACAATATTTGCATAATTTTTTTGGAATTACCACACATTCCACAGCTCGCAAAGTTCGGTATAATAATTCATTATGATCTCAAGATAAGAAATTATATCAGGCATATAGGAACAAATAAATGATAAAATATATGCAAATTGTGTGGCATTCATTTAACAATTTATATTTTTTTTTTCTTTACAAGATATTCTTCTTCACATTCCCGAAATGAATTCATCGTTATGATGTGAATGTTTTTTTTTGTCGGTGCCAAAAATAAAATTCTGAAATGAAAGTGTCGAAGCGTTTGTCATTCGATGATTTTTCATGTCAATATTATCAATTAAGGACATGACGTTCAGAGGTGGGAATTAATTGTCGATTTAATCGATGGATGATACAATTATTAATCAAATAATCTGGTAGGATTAAGGATTAATTCGGAAGAATATATCCAGTTGGAATTAAAAATTAGAATTTTATTGCTCCAAATTTCAAAATAAGCTTATCAGTCACAGATCCCATTGTGGCTAGTCTTGTTAATTAACAAAAATAGCAGATAAAACCAAACATCACATGCAATCCCCACATGACTAAATATGTTTGTTAAGTACAATGAAATCAAGCAATTAAGCAATTATAATGTGGATAATAGACCGTATACCTCAGTATAGCTTTGCATTATCAAAAGGATTGAATAAATTAGAATTTATATTGTCTGTGACTAGTTAGTAACATGATTATAAGCCATTAGAAACCGTAAATTGATCAACTATGGTCTTTAAATTCATTTTCACGCCTACATATCCATAAAATTCAATAAAATTAATAAAAAAAAAAGTGAAAAAAAATCTGCTTAAGTATTTAAAATTTATGTTTCTTCTTTCTGTGATACATGAGAGTATTTTGGATGTTTTAATAAAGTTTTTGTTATGTACTTAAAAAGGTCAAAAGAGTAGGAAAGGTGCTGCTTCAAATATTTTTTGGATCATTTTTTTGGCAGTCGGAAACAAATTCATTTTTCAGTTTTTCACGAATAAAAGATCCTTAACAAAGGAAAGCGCATATTATTGAGTGTACTTGAGCATGTTGTGAACAACTGTCAAAAAATGTTAACGGTAACATTTATTTCAAATATTATGCTGAATTTCAAATCAAAATTTCTACGTAATTTTACGTACGTATTTGAAAAAAGTCACTTTAAGAATCTTTTTAAAGGAACCAATAGTCATACAGACTAATCAGAGATATTACTGACTGTTCCTTTTAAAAGACAGAAAAAGGATTTTTCACAAATAAACATAAAGAAAATAAAGATATTCTCGAAATTTGCATTTAAATTAAATTAATTAAAGGAACAAGAGGAAATGCCATTAAAAATGAGAAGAAGAAATACAAAAAAATGGAATGTGGAAAACAAGTTGTTATTAACATATATGAAGATGAGAATTTACGTACAAATGACAATGAAATTATTAAGGGCGGATGAAACTCAGCAAGAGCTAAATATGATTTTTTTTTATTCATCTTTGTGACACCCTCCTTTCCAATTTTCCATTTTTCTTGTCATAAAATTTGACTATAATGTTTTACAAACAGCAATCCAAACTATTTGCACGCACTTACCGTTGCAATTAATAAGAATTTCCAATTATTTCTCTATCCACTGCCTTTCTTCCTGACTCATAATTGCCTATTTTTGCGTATTTTGTGTAGGTTTAAGGTGAACTTTTCCTGGGTTATATAAAATTGTTTCCGTCACAAGCTCTTGTTTATTCAAATCTAGTTCCTTTAATTTAGCTTTTGTCTTATAAAAAAATTTCTTAAAAACTTTGTAAATTTTCTTTTCGTTTTTTCTTTTTTTATTTGTGTAAAGACAGCAAAAAAATCCACAAATAATTTTATTTTTGGAAAAATGTGTAGTCACACAACGATTTCACGTACAAAACTAAACAGAATGGGAGAAATTTTCTTTCGGAAAATGAAATTTTTTTATTTTCTTGTGCATGTATTGGTGCGCACATGTTGCCTCATTATGTTATTTTCGGGCTTGCGCAATTGTGATATATTTTTGTTTACTAGAGTCCAGTCCACATGCATATTTTATTTCGGCTTCTCATGCTCTGATGTTTTATTTTGATTCTTTTTTGCCATAAATAACAGGGAGTAGACATGAGTTTTCTGTTCGTCAGTTCCTATTGTTTTTTTCACCCCTTGATACCAAAAATGGAAATACAAAAAATTTGAAGTTCTTTTTCTTCCAATTTTTTTACGACCTCTAATTGGATTACACTCTTTCCAGTTACATATTAGAATTAGATAAGCAACATATAATGTAGGATATATCTTTTTATAAAACATGATTGATGAACTTAAAAAGCTGCTATTCTTTTCGATTCGCAAAACAGGTCCAAAATTCTTTAGTGTCCCAATGTATTTATATCTAGTCAATTAACACATTATGACACTGATCAGGGGCGTAGCCAGAAAATTTTTAAGGGGGGGGGGGGGGGCATTTTCGAAAATTAAAAACCGTTATTTTGTATCGTTAAATCTATATTCATTCTTCATAAGTTTAAATATTTAATTCATTATTCATACATTAAATTTAATTTTTCGTGCTGATTTTGACATTTCTTTCATCACTTCCTCTACATTAACTGGTTCTTCTCTATAAATACTTAATAAAACAATTATCAGATTTTCGTAGGGGGGGGGGGCCTATAGCCCCCCTGGCTACGCCCCTGTCACTGATCTCAACCAGTTGAAATTGAATTCTTGTTGCTTCCCTATTCTTTAATTTTGTATCTGAAATATTTCAGCTGTGTTTATATGCAAACCACTCATATCCTCAACACGTACATTCATATCGTAAATTGCTCATGAAATTCATTAAAATGCTGGCTATTTTTTGCTGTTCTTATAACTAAGAAAATATGCTGATATACTATTTTATGTTGATGTTTATTGTCCAAGATTTTGAACGGGTTTTTTCAATTTTGAAATTCTACTGCTGTCTATCTTGCATAAATTTCAAAAAAAAATTACCGTTGACAAAAAATAAAATCCCAAAAAATTTGTCGCAGCACAGTTCAATTTCCCCTCTATAGCTTTTTCTCTCTATGTTTAAGGTACGCATTCACACATTCATGCTCTTTCGAGAAGGGTGAATATGTGCATTTATTTAAAATATTCAACTGGCAAAAAAAAAATTTATTCATGTACATGCTCTTGTCCCTGCAAACGAATATTTCATGATGACATAAAAGTCCTGTATGTGAATTTTTTAAACACTTTTTGTCCTTCACATTATTTTTATTTTTCGTAAAAACTCAAGAACTTAATTTAGTTGAGAGAAAAAAAGAAGAAAAACTTAAATTATTCTCTTTTTGACACTTTTTATATACAATTATGGCTAATATTAGAATTACATTAAAATTAATACATTTATTTATTGTGGAAACAGTCACATGCTTATTCTGAATCACTATCAATGACAGACTTGATTTTCGATAAAGTTTCCAAAACTTCTGGCTGTACGTTTGATGTCGATTCGCCTTCATTGTTTGATTTAGAATCTTCACTATCCTTTGATGCAGCACCTCTTCTTGATCTCCTTGTGCGACCTATTTTTCAATAGATATGACAATCATTATTATCATAAATAAATAAAAATTGTTCATTCATGCTTACCTTCTACTGGCAAAATGACACTTTTGTCGAGCTCAGCAATCTCACGTTTTGCCTGCAATTCAAGTTTGAGCTTCTTACACTTTGCCATTGTTGGTTCTCCATCCATGCCTTTCTGTACTAAAATTCTCCTCAATAATGCACATTTATGAGCGGTAGATTTAGAGTTGTGAAACAGCTTTCCATAATTTATTTTCAATCCACAAATTTTCATGAACTCTTTCATCGTGGAAAGTTTAGAGTCGTCGTCTAGCTGTGGTCTGCAATAAATTCAAATTATTGATAAGTTTTAAAAATTCAAAGCTATAACTTCTTACATCAATCTTTCTTAAAATGACAAGTTTATTTTACCTGAAACTTTGCATAGATGGTCTTGGAGCTTGTGGGATTGTATTTTGTGTAGGAATCGGCATTTTTATTAAGGGAGGTGTATTAATTGGACGCTGTAAAGATCTATTTGGTGGAAAATGTTGTACCTTACGCACTCTATCACTTTGTCCATCACTATTCCATCTCGAATGGAGGACATGAAGAGGAACTGAAATATTACAAAGTTATTAAGCATGTCAGTTTAAAGAAAATTAATTATTACCATTTACGTCCCCAAAGTATATATCGTTTGGAATATTTCTCGATTTATCATAAAATCGACCTTTTTGTTCGATATCCTTTTTAGTTGGAACTCTTGTAATTGTCACTGAATTTCTTATAATATTTTGAGCAACTTTAACATTTTGAGGACCTGGTCTAGACGATGGCAGTCGTTTTTTCACTCTTTCTTTCGACGATGAACTACTTTCGCTGGATGATGACGATGAAACTGATTCAGAATAACTACTGGAATCGCTATCGTCCACAAAGTCTCTGGAAACGTTAACAATATTTAATGCAAATTAAGGCTATAAATACAATTAGCTTAATTACCTCTCATATTGATCGCCTCTCTTTCGAATGTGTGATTTTGTATCGGTTGCACTCCTTCTCGTGACTGGACCACGTTTTCGTCCTCTTCTTGCTGTATTAGAACTTTGCTTGTCAGCAGATCCAAAATATTTATCGTTCGAAACATCCTTTTGCTCATCTTCGTCTGTCGTGTCATTAAATTTGAAAAAGTCACTAAAATAATTAAATTAAAATTAATAGATGATTTATAATCAGCAATCAGCTTGCCACTAATAGGGCAAAATCGATAAAAAGGTTCATTCACAATTTTTTTGAAATACGATTTTAAGATAATTTTTTCTTGTAGACTTTTATGTCATTTGGTGCTGTTTTTGCGATTCTGTCGAAAAAATCGAATTTTTTCATGCTCTACTTGGCTACTATTCTGTATATCTATTTTTTATCGTTTAAGACAGTACATAGTTAAACATCAAAATGAAGCTCTCACAAGTTATAAAACACTATAAGAATTAAAAACAATATTTCAATATCTTTAACCATTGCAGTGATTTCCCAATTCAAATAGGGCATGAATGAAACCCTTTTTTTCTGATTTTGCTTGACATACTCATCATCGTCCATTGGCTTAATTTTATCTAGCTCTGCATTAACATCATCTTCTTCAGTTTTTTCGGTCGGCGCTTCAGGATTTTCAGCTGTTGGTGATTTTTGCTCGACGTTTTCATTTTTAACTTCGACTTTTTCCTCGTTCTTATCCAAATTTTCAATAACTGGTTCCTTAACGTCGTCCTTGGTACTGTCACTAACATCTTTCGTACTTTCCACTTCAGGCTCATTATCTAGTTGTTCAGTGATTGTACTTTTTTCCTCTAGAATTTCTTCTGGAACTATAATTGGATCGTTATTAATAATCACAATATCGTCCGTAAAAATCGCTTCTTGATCTTCATTTTCATTATCATTCTCATTTCCTAATAGCCCAATATCATCAACTGATGTTTGCATTTGTTCCTCATCATCACTGTCTAATACTCTCTGTTTTTTCTTCTTTTTCTTGTTCTTGTCTGGATCTTCAATAATTACGGCAGTTTTTAAAAGATATTTTGCTTTAAGAAAGTTGCGACTTGTATTTGTAGACAGTTCCTTCTCATCCTCGCTGTTACTATCATTTTCACTGTCTGCATCTTGTTCACTCGATTTTCCATTTTGCTTATCGTCTTGCTCAACATCGCTGGATCTATTCAAAAGTTCTTTTTTAAGTTCATTTCCATCGGAATCTGAATCGTCGTCATTTAAAACAACTATTCTCCTCCTTTTCTTTCCTGATATGTCTCTTTTGAATGGTTTACTTTCAACAACCTTATGTGCTTCATTATCGATATTTTCACTGGATCTTGTTGCTGATTCTTCAACATCTTTCTCACTTGTTGCATTTTCTTCTATACTTTTATCCATACCTTCATTTGCATTTTCAGAACTTTCTATTTTTTCTTGGAAGTCTGCATTCGTGTCTTCTTTATCAGCTATGTCTTCTGTAGTTTGGGGCTGTATGATGGATTCAGACTGATTTTCTTCAGACCCATTTGAAATGTCTTTTGACAAATCCCTACAATCTGTTGTTAAATCATATGGAGAAGATTGATTTATTAATTCCGTAGGTGCCGGTGGAACTGAATCATTGATTATTGATGGGATGTTTGTTTTTGAAGCTTGATCTTCCGGATTGCGAGAAAAATTTTCTGGTTCTGCAAAAGCAGCATTAATAAACCCAAAAGTCTCTCCGTACTCATAATTATGATGTTGTTCCATTCTTGTCGTTGTTCTCTTTACTATTTTATTACTTTACTAAAATTAGTGAAATTAAATGTGAATTTTATGATTTTTCGTTATATCTTCCTCAATTTCGAAGATTTTGAAATATAACTATAAGTAACTTGTTGATGATCCCTTACAGATTGATTCAAAACTAGATTAATACATTAGAAACGTGTATTTCTCTCTTAAATCAATTAATAATAAAAATTTTCAAAAATATTTTGTATTGTTTTTAGCTCAATTTATGTGTCTTCATTAGCCTGCCATTTTCATGTCAGTCTGACAATTTAAATTTTACAACAGATTTATGATTTATCTGTCAAATTAATGATTAAAATTGATGTGGTTTATTTTCAATATGATTTAATTAATGAGTTGATTCGATAATAGATTCTTGGAAAAGCGCTTTAAGTTTAATTCGTTTAATTTTCATTTACTTCCATGCGAAAACATGCGAAAGTATGTTACAATGTTTACATTCGGAAGTTCAAAAAATCTTAAAACATCACAATTTAAAAGAATTAAAATTCTCGACTAAGAATGAGTAAAATCATTAAGGAAGGCATTCTTTTGAAGTAAGTACTGATGACTAAATTATAATTTGACAGTTAAGCATACAATCAATGAATAATTATACAGTGGACAGCAGATTTTTGAAGCAAACAAGAAATTGGAAGAATATTCAATATTGGGCAAAGGATCTAAAGAGAAACAGAATGAAGTTTTTACAGCCGAGGATAGACAGAGTGACAGTACTATAGAAAGCCTTTATAACCTGCTTAAAATCGAGAGAGTTTATCTTACAAATAAGCGATCAAAAGGGATTTATGAAAAGGAGAAAAATCGAGTTAAAATCATGTCTATTGTCGGCAAATTAGGAGTTATTGGATTTTTTGAGGATGAACAGATGTATCTTAAGCCTCACGAAGCTTTACTTTTAATTGAAATGGTGAGACACTTACGGTTATTAAAAATACACATAATTTACAGTTTAATAAAATCTTAAAGAACAGACTGGAAGTTACGTACGATACAGTTACGATTTCCGTTGAACAGGCTTACAGCATATTCCTGACCTCGAAATGTGAATTATCTTTAGAAGATTATATTGTTTATTCTTACATATCAAGAATCGGTTATATTATTATAATTCATGATCCTGAAGTTGATAAGGAAAAGTTCAAACTTTTAGAGGAACGAAAGAAAGTCAGTAAGGAAGATGAAATGATCTGGTGTATTTTGATGCAGAAACTCAATATGCCATACTCAAAAGAAACCATTGAATCCAATTACGATTTATATGTAAAAACCAAATCAGATATGGATAAATCAGCAGCAATTATCAGTGGACAAGACACTGACAATGACAATATGGAAGTAGATAATGCTAAGCATGATAATAGTAACGAGCCGCCGAATAAAAAGTTCAAACCAAATGCACTTGAAGAGGATAATAATTTCTTAGACATCTTAAAAACTGAACTTGAGTATCTATCGTACAGACAAATCTTCAACAAATTCAGCTACGTGACAAGAAAAACTTTTAGCGAATTCGAGTACGATAAAGTCAGAAATTTAAAATTTACATTCGACGTTTTCCTTCCAAAAATGCATTTCAAGAGAACGGAGCATTTATCAAATTATCGAATAATTGTTTTAAGGTAAGTTCGACATGCCTCCATTTTTTTTTCATACTAATAGATTCCTTTTTGGTACAGATCAAACGAAGAATTTCCATCAAATGTTGAGCTACAAAGACTTAGAGAAAATCAGAGTTATGAAGTTCCAATCATCATTGCTGTTGTTTCAGAAAGCTTGTCTGTTCATTTTAGCATTTGTACATTTAAATAAATTTTTTTTATGTGTTTAAATTTCATAAAATATGCTTTTGAAAAATTTAGAGCTTAACGTGCTTTTTACATTCAAAAACTATGCAAACATTTGAAATTTATAAACCTGCTACATTTTTAAATTTAACGGTTATTGATGTAGATGTGAACTTAAAACTTTTTAGGGAGCACTTTGAGTACTCAAGTGATTAAGAAAACAATTTCGAGAGCCTGTCTGTCGCTTAAATCCACTTTTAATCAGTTATCAAATTTTCGATAAGTAGTCACTCTCAATATTTGTTTCTATACCTAATTCAGTTCAATTGCTGGTTCTGAATAAGGCAGACAAAAAAAAACTATGGATTTGAAAATAATTTCTGTGTTCTTAATTACCTTATTCCTTTGTGGATTTGCTGAAAAAGCTAGATTTGACCATTATCGTGTCTATGAAGTGAGCATTAATAATGACGAGCAATTAAGCTTAATGAGGGAAATTGAAAGTTATTCAGATTCGGTAAGTCACATTAACCATATGCTTGATTCTGATTCCAATGAAAATGCATGTCTATTATTAGTACCAATTTATTGAGAAATCAGGAACAATCAATTCAAATACGCGCCTTATCGTTCCGCCTCACAAGTTTGCAGAGTTTGAAGAAATTGTTGTGAGATATGAGATAAAATCCCGTCTACTGATTAATAATTTTCAAGAGTAAGTTTGGGTCAAAGCTCATAAATTTCATGCAATTAATTGATGTACAATTTAGAATAATAGATAATGAGCAGCCAAAGGGAATGAAGAAAGGGATATTCGATTGGACAAGATACTGGGAATTGAATGAAATTTATGAATGGTTCAACATCCTTGTTACTCAATTTCCAAATGATGTTTCCATAGTTAATATTGGGGATTCATATGAAGGACGTCCAATTTTAGGACTGAAACTTAACATTGGTGGCGGTGCCAATAAGAAATCAATTATATTTGAAGGAACACATCATGCACGTGAATGGATTTCTGCTGCAACAGTTACATACATGCTTAATGAACTTTTAACTTCCAATAATACTGATGTAAAGGATATTGCTGCTGCATATGAATGGTACATTTTTCCTGTAACAAATCCTGATGGCTATCTCTATACATGGACTAATAATCGAATGTGGAGAAAAAATCGAAAGCCAACTTCAAATTTGTTGTGCATTGGAACTGACTTAAATCGTAATTGGGATAATTTCTTTAATCAAGGAGGAACATCATTTAATCCATGTGATAATACATATGCTGGATCGTCCCCTTTTTCAGAACCAGAGACGAAAGTTCTTTCAGAATTCATAAAAACAGTTCCCAACTTGGTCGGCTACTTCCCATTCCATTCTTATTCACAAATTCTGATGGTTCCTTATGGATGGACTCATGAGTTACTTGATAATTATCATGAACTTTATGCAATAGGAGAGAAAGCTTTGGAAACACTGTCATCATTTTATGGAACCACTTATGAACTTGGTTCTATTGCGAATGTCATATGTGAGTAAATTTTATGTCCAATATAATATCCATAAAAATGTTTTTTGTGCTTATATAGACATTGCAACTGGGGCTTCAATTGATTGGGTTAAATATGAGCTGAAAACAAATGTCACATTTGAGTACGAAATGAGAGATGTAGGTGCATATGGCTTCAATCTACCAGCATCACAAATCATTGAAAACTCAATCGAGGTCTTTGCATCAATAATTACAATTTTACAAGAAGCACAAAAGATTGGAATTGCATAAACATTTAATATAATATAGTTTATTGTAATTGAGTTTAAGGCAGTATATAAAGGCAATACAAGTATTTTGAAAGATTCTGCTGTCCATTATTTAACTGTTTATTGCGATGGACTCAAAGCATGAACGAATGATTTATCATTATTTTGATATCCTCGTTTGATAACATGTGGAATTGTTTTTGGCACCATTGTAATACAGTCAATGATTGGGCAGACGCTCAAGCATAAATCGCATCCTGTGGTATTAAAAAATACGGTTTTAAAAATTTAAATAAAATAAGTTCAGACACTACGTACCTGTACAGTCATCATTCACCTTTGGTAAATGGGTTTTTGAGTCAAACTCAATTGCTTGATACCCGGAATCAGCACAAGTCATGTAGCATTTTCCACAATTGATGCATAAATCCTAAAAATGGTCGATTTAAAAGTTTTAATTCTTGTATTATCTTCTTATCAACAATATGTAATCTTACGTCATCAATCAATGCGACAACTTGTCTAGTATTGTCTAATTTCTTGTAAGGTCCAATTCTAGGCAAAGCCTTTCCAATTACATCACTGACAAGTGGAGCTTTCTTGATCTCTTCGCTTGAATCAGCTTTCAATTGCTTTAGTTGCTCTAATAATAATTTTATCAACACTTTTCAAAATTTAATGAAGCACATACACGAACTTACCATCATATGGATTATAAAGAGGTCCTTTCTCTTGAACCAATTTAACGAATTTCTCTTCCTTCTTCTTCTTATACTCGCCAAAATTGACTAAAGGCTTTCCATCATCATCCTTTAAAGGAATAACAGCTTTTCCGATTTGAAGCTTTAATTGTGGTGGTGATTGTCCATCCCATACTCCATTTTCAGCTGGTGGATTTGCTTTCAAATATAAAAGTGCCTTGAGACCTGTTATGTAATCCTGAATGACACTAAAATCTTGATTTTGTACAGCTGAACAAATTTGCATGACCGATGCACCGCATTGAAGGAATTGAAGCGCAACATCTGCTGAATCGATTCCACCAGTTGCCATAATTGGGAAGTTTGGAAGTGCATTTCCAATTGCTGACACAGATTTAAGAGCGACAGGTCGAGTAGCATTTCCAGAAACTCCACCATAAGTTGTTCGCTTGTCTAACGAGACATTTGGCCATGCGATTCCATCAGCATTTAAAGACATCATTCCACTGATTGTATTTATTGCGGTAACTCCAGATGCACCACCTTCATAAGCAGCTTTAGCAATTGAAACAATTTCAGTGATATTTGGAGTAAGTTTGATGAAGAACGGAATCTTTACAGCCTTACGAACCCAAGCAGATATGTTCTGCACCAATTTTGGATCCTTAAAGAAAGACATAAAAAATTTACAGCTATTATTATTATTCACTTGATGCCACACTGGTCTATTTTCAAAAATTTGCGGCAATCGAGCTCATTTTGTAAAAGTTTGACCATATTCCTTTGGAGAGCATATTCGGGGATATCTCATTTGAAAGCTGACATTGATACGAGAAGATTCCTCAAATTTCAAGTTATTTGGTCCACCTAGTGCCGAGTAGCAGGTCCTCAAAGTTGGGTATATGCAAATTTTCAGCTTTTTGAGATTCTTTATTTAAACTCAATTTAGGCTACTCAACCAAATGAAAAACGTACCAACAATTAAGTATATCATACTATTTGTAAAATTTCTATCAGATGGAGTAGTGACAGATTTAGTATGAAAAAATTGGGGAAAAACACACTACAAAAGTTCGTGACTGCTGCAAACTACCTGAATTAAGATCTAGCCTATTAGTTTTACCTTTATTAAATAGTCCAAACTTTTATCTTTCTAAATTGGGGTCTCATTATATCCAGAGCTTGCTCAATGTCGAGTACTAGTCAATCAAAGTTGGGTGAAAATGCAAATCTTAAAAAAAATTATTTCTCAAAAATCATTCAAAAATTCAATTTTTGCTCTTGACAAGTTTTAATTTTAATTTTTTGGTTTAATACTTGATTATTGGGCTATTTATGAATGATTTTTAAAAAAATGGTATACGCTTTGATGGTTATCGATTTGACCCTTTCTCCCATCATTTAAACTGCGTTAACTTTTTATTGAGCAAATATTTTTTAAGGCGGTTTTCTATTTATTGTGGCTTAATGTAATACCTTTCTAATAAATATGCAATTCTTAATAGTATATTCAAGTCTTCGTCATAAATATTGCCTTTGTTTTTGACCGACCCTTTTTTGAAAAACCTTAAAAAACTCAATTGTTTTTGGGCTTTTTATGATCATTTATGATAATTATGGCTATCAAAAACTCAAAAATTGTGTTTTATAAACTGTCCGTGATGTATGGGTGTGACCTAACGAGTTGAGGTTCAAACTGTATACAAAAATTCTAAAATTCGAGCCCTCTATGGGTCTGAGTACTGAGCATCTGAAGTTGATTCCTTTTAAAATTCAACTTCACACCAATTTTTTTGCCAATTAATTTGAAAGCATGAAGCATGATTGAAAATAAGATTATTGAAACATTTAGTAGGGAACGCTACAAGGTACTCAAACTCATACCTCTCATCACTAGTAAAATGTTTTTAATTTGGTTTTTTGTATTAGTAAAAGGCCTTGAATGTATTTATTTTGACTAATTATGGCACAAAATGACCGAATATATTGACAAAATAATTTTTGAAAATTTTTTATGATAAGTTTGCATAGAATTATCCCAAATGAAGTTTTTAACTTTGAACCATTTTAGACATGTAATCTGCATACACCTCAAAAATATTTTTCAACTTTTTTCATCAATTTCATGCCCAAACTTGATAAAACTTTCAGAAATGATAGAAAATAGTGTTTTTGATGTTTTAAAATCAATTTGAGTTTTTGACATAAACTTGGACCATTTTTATTTGAAATCTCATTATTTTCTATTTTCAAGTTTATATAAATGACTTTAAATATACATTGCGCTTAACAAAAAGTATTTTTATTGTCTTTGCTGTTTATTTTCTTAAATTACCTTTACAACGGTATGTAATATGTCATATGCGAGTACAATATCCTTGAATAATATTGAAATACTGAAAAGTTGCTCAAAATTCGATGTGTTAAAAACCATGCTTATCATTTTTGCTTATAATTTAAGAAAATAAACAGCAAAGACAATAAAAATACTTTTTGTTAAGCGCAAAGTATATTTAAAGTCATTTATATAAACTTGAAAATAGAAAATAATGAGATTTCAAATAAAAATGGTCCAAGTTTATGTCAAAAACTCAAATTGATTTTAAAACATCAAAGTTAAAAATTTTTTGATGCATAAATATAACTTCATTTGGGATAATTCTATGCAAACTTATCATAAAAAATTTTCAAAAATTATTTTGTCAATATATTCGGTCATTTTGTGCCATAATTAGTCAAAATAAATACATTCAAGGCCTTTTACTAATACAAAAAACCAAATTAAAAACATTTTACTAGTGATGAGAGGTATGAGTTTGAGTACCTTGTAGCGTTCCCTACTAAATGTTTCAATAATCTTATTTTCAATCATGCTTCATGCTTTCAAATTAATTGGCAAAAAAATTGGTGTGAAGTTGAATTTTAAAAGGAATCAACTTCAGATGCTCAGTACTCAGACCCATAGAGGGCTCGAATTTTAGAATTTTTGTATACAGTTTGAACCTCAACTCGTTAGGTCACACCCATACATCACGGACAGTTTATAAAACACAATTTTTGAGTTTTTGATAGCCATAATTATCATAAATGATCATAAAAAGCCCAAAAACAATTGAGTTTTTTAAGGTTTTTCAAAAAAGGGTCGGTCAAAAACAAAGGCAATATTTATGACGAAGACTTGAATATACTATTAAGAATTGCATATTATTAGAAAGGTATTACATTAAGCCACAATAAATAGAAAACCGCCTTAAAAAATATTTGCTCAATAAAAAGTTAACGCAGTTTAAATGATGGGAGAAAGGGTCAAATCGATAACCATCAAAGCGTATACCATTTTTTTAAAAATCATTCATAAACAGCCCAATAATCAAGTATTAAACCAAAAAATTAAAATTAAAACTTGTCAAGAGCAAAAATTGAATTTTTGAATGATTTTTGAGAAATAATTTTTTTTAAGATTTGCATTTTTACCCAACTTTGATTGACTAGTACTCGACATTGAGCAAGCTCTGGATATAATGAGACCCCAATTTAGAAAGATAAAAGTTTGGACTATTTAATAAAGGCAAAACTAATAGGCTAGATCTTAATTCAGGTAGTTTGCGGCAGTCACGAACTTTTGTAGTGTGTTTTTCCCCAATTTTTTCATACTAAATCTGTCACTACTCCATCTGATAGAAATTTTACAAATAGTATGATATACTTAATTGTTGGTACGTTTTTCATTTGGTTGAGTAATTTTTGCATAAATTGAGTTTAAATAAAGAATCTCAAAAAGCTGAAAATTTGCATATACACAACTTTGAGGACCTGCTACTCGGCACTAGGTGGACGAAATAACTTGAAATTTGAGGAATCTTCTCGTATCAATGTCAGCTTTCAAATGAGATATCCCCAAATATACTCCCCAAAATAATATGGTCAAACTTTTACAAAATGAGCTCGATTGCCGCAAATTTTTGAAAAATAGAGCAGTGTGTGATTCAGGACTTACCTGTCCACAAGCTAGTCCCATACCACTCTCAGCCATGCCATGTGGACAAGAGAGGTTTAGTTCCATCAATTGAGCACCTGCAGCTTCAGCCTTTTGAGCCAATTCTGTCCAATCTTGCTCATTGTATGAGCACATGATTGAAGCTATAACAACTTTAGATGGAAAATCTTTACGTAATTCACGGATTCCTGTAAGCCAGTAGTCTGAACATTTTTCAGAAATTAATTCAATGTTCAGGAAGCTACCTTGGCCTGGTCCATAATTATGCCCAGAAGTTGATCCTCTCACAATTCTTGGAGATACATTTGTTACTAAATCCTTATCGAGTGAAAAGGTCTTTGTTAATGCAAAAGCCCAACCTTGCTCAAATGCTCTCCGAATCATAGGAATGCTGGTTGTTGGTGGTGCACTGGCGAGTCCAAAAATATTCTCAAACTTAACTCCACACATCTCAACTGATATGTCGACTAAATCAACATTTGTATAAAACATTGGAAGTTCTGGTGGAGTATCAAACGAAAGTCCTTGTAAATAACAATGCATATACCATGCAGCTGTCTTTCCATCATTTACACACTCGACTGTCGTTCCTGAATATCCACCAAGATCACCACCACAAAAGACACTTTCAACATTTGTCTGCTGGGTTCTTTCGTTAATATTTGGAAGTCCCCAAGAGTTTAATTTTACGGGACCCATTGCATCTTTTACTTCAGGATCTAAAAGACCACTTCCAAATGCAGATATAATGTAATTAGTTTTCAATCTCACAATCTGCTCAACATCTTCAATCCAGTTTCCATCTTCATCCTTTTCTGTTCTGCAAAACTCGACATGCGTGATTCTGTTATTCTTCATGATTACTTTTCTTGGCGATAGGAACGAAATAAATTCGCATTTCTCCTCACGAGCAAGCTCAACTTCTTCAGGAACAGCATGAATATTTGTGGTTCCTTTACGGAAGACAACAAAGACTTTTGAAGCACCACATCTGAGTGACGAAGTTGCACAATCAAAGGCTGTATCTCCAGCGCCAAGAACGATTACAGTTCCATTCAATGACGGTAGATTTGAAGCTTTACATGAACACATCCCACGTTTACTTCCGTCCGCAACTCGTGGAAGGAAGTCTTTAGATGTAAAGAATCCGTTTGCTTCTGATAATCCTTCAAAAACAGGAGCAATTTTTGCTTGTGGTAAGCCAATTCCTAAGAACACAGCATCATTGCCATCATCAATGAGTTTTTGGACTGTAATATCTTTTGTTGACAAACTTCTACCATTCTCAAATTTGACACCAAGATCTTTAACTAAATTAATTTCAAACTCGACAACATCATAAGGAAGACGGTACTGAGGAATTTCCGATGAACCCAAGCCTCCACAATAATCACGTTTCTCATAAATTGTCAAGTCTTTGTATCCCAATCTTGCTAAGAATGTAGCACATGAAAGTGACGCTGGCCCGCCACCAATTAATGCAATCTTCGCATCAGCCTTTTGCTTCAATGGCTTCAAATCAGGATTTAAGATTTGCTTGATTCCCATTCTTTTGAATGTCTCAGTTGCAAATTGCTGAAGACCGCTAATATTAATCGGACCTTCCTCAACAGCTGCTAAGTTGCAATTTCCAACACATAAATCACTCGTTGGACAAACCATGCCACATGTTAGACCTAAAAAATAAATGTCATGAGTCATTATCAGTTATAAAAATGTCATAGACCTGTGTTGGGGCCATTCACTTATTACGTAACGCTTTTAGGGGGAGGGGGGGGTCTAAGATTTTGTTACGGTTCAAACAAGGAAATTTTTTTTTCATACAAATTTTGTTACGAGGGGGGGGGGGGGTCTAAGAAGTAATTTTTTCGCGTTACGTAATAAGTGAACAGCCCCGTTGGAAGTAATTTTTTTTGATAAATCGTGACTGATCGCGAGACGTTTTCAAGGACAAATCTCTTTAAAAACTTGTTTAGAACTTTTTTTCTTCGACACCAAAAATCACGGCTTGATAAAAGTAAAGGCTTGGACATTATACGAAGATAGGATTCAAATCTTTCTCTTATACATGATGAATTAAAATTCTTAATTGATCTCATAAGTGAATGAATTTTAATGGAAATCTATTAGCATCAACACCAACTAACCTAAAGGATTATCCGAGAAGATGAACTTGGCAGCACCATAATAATTTTTAGTCGAAATGCTTGAAATAAAAGCCTTGATATCTAATTGCGTAGGACATCCCTTTTGACACGGAGCATCAGCACATTTCAAACATCTTGCAGCCTCACGTAATGCACCGCGTTCAGATAATGTCGTGTGCTTAATGTCCGAAAAATCGTGCTTCAATGAGTGACAAGTCTGAAAAAAAAATTAATTTTGATAATAAATCAATTAAGCAATTGATAGAACAGCTGTTTAATATAAAGACTCACAGCCTCCGACTTATCAGCATTACGTTTCCACAACTTCTTATTTTTCTTCGTTTCGACTGTTGATAGGACGGAGCATTTCGTTAATACGCGTGGATTAAGTGACAATAAATTCTAAAAATATAAAAAAAAATTTAGAGTTAAGAACAGCTTGTTAAAAATATTATTATATATGCCTATCTATCTCTGCTGTAGGTACAACTTTATTTTTGTTCACAAAACAAATTATTAAATAATATTTAATGATTTTACTTTATTGTGCTGTTAACGATAAGATATGAATGTGCAGTGTATATTCAATTCCTGAGTTAGACATTAAATCATAACAATTTACGACTTATATGATTTAAATCATGTCAGTCACTGACCTTTGACAATTTTCTAATACCTATTATAATTATCTTTATCGTTAAAAATCTTAAATCTATGGTTAAATTTGCTTTATCCATCAATATTACCTCAATATCGGGGGTGTCAATGAGTTTACTTGCTGACATTTTTCAGTTTCTAGTTCTTTATTTAAAGATGATTTAGAAGATAACTGCGTGTTAGATTTTAATCCAAAACTAGTCTGACAACGAATTTATTGAACGTCTTACTCCAACGATACTCTGAGCACAACTGATAATGCATTGGAATGATTAAGTTTACATGTTTGGTGAGCGACAAACCGGCGAGAGAAACTACGGAGATAATGTTTCATATTACGCTCATATTTCTCACAAGTTTCATTTCTAAGGTCAATCAGCTGATTGAACATATTTGTTAATAGAATGAATGTGTTGCATGTGCCATAAACTTCCGACAAGTGTTTTTCGTTCTGTTTATTAAACCTTTCTTCTTTTTTAAAAGTTTTGAATAATTTTAGAGGCATTTGCTAATTTTATAATTTATTGAACTATAGTAAAATATTTTGGTTCTTTCCGTTATAAAATTCTTTGAGTCCCTTTCGTTTAAAAAGAATCCGTAATTAAAAAACGACCCTAAAGCAATCATTGATACCTTGTTCTTCTAAAGTAATCCTCTTGTAAGAACCTAATATTTATTTTGTTAATCAAATTTTATTTGAATGGTTTGACTACTCTTAATAATTAATAGCTGTTGCAAAAAAATAAAAATAATGGTTATAATTGCAAAAGTAATTCAAATTAAATACAAAAACAAGGATATTAGATATTATGCAAAATAAAACAAAAATTGGTCAATCAACTACCATTAAAGCACAATTTAAAGTAAATTCCAGTATATATGTTCCCTTTATGTATTGAATCGTATCAACTAACGTAAGCTGTCCTGTGTTAGTTCATAAAACAGTTCGTGCTTTTATTTAAACCCCACTTCCAAATCATTGGGAACTAAAACTGAATCATATATAAGTCGATTGAAAAATATAATTCTGCATCACAATAACTTAAACATTTAAAGCAAATAGTTCTTTAAACTAAAAAACAATCAACTCAAAATGAAAGTAAGTTTTAAAGTCGATAAAAGATTTTTTATCATTTAAACTAATTTTCTTTTTAATTATCTTTTAAGGTATTCGCTTTAATCGCTCTTTTCGTCGCTTGCGCATCAAGCTCAGCAGTATGGCCTTATGCTCCATCAGCTCCATGGGCTTATTCAGCTTATTCACATGCACCAATCACACAATACTCATCATACCCAGCTTATTACGCTCATGCTCCAGCAGTTTCCTATGCTAATCACGTTGCTGCCCCATACGTTGCCAGCCCATATGTTGCTGCTCCATACGTTCACGCTCCAGTTGTTGCCGCTATCCCACATACAGCTACATACACAGCCGCAAACAAAGGAAGCGTACACACAGCTCCATTGCCAGGACATGCTGTCTCACAAACATCATTGAATTTGGCTCCAGCACCAGGAACCCACTAAATTAAGTCTAAGCAAAAACAAATAATGAAATGATTAAATCATAGTCATTGGGTACCAAAAACTGCCAATGTTTTCTATCCTCAAAAAATTAAATCATGGAAATGTAATTAAAATAAAAAAAAAGAATATGTTTACAAAAAAAAACTTCTTTTGTTTATTTCCTTTAACAGATACACAATTTAATGTTTCTTATAGATTATGCTGATATTAAATAGCAAACAACGCTCAAGAAGTCCTTCATCTATTCCTATTTTTTTTTTCAAAATTATTTGAACCTAAGGATCATTAAGCTAAGGGCCCTAATATTTACAACCTTTTAGACAAGACAATACTTAGTGTACTTTAGCAGTTGAACTTCGACATTGTTTTCATTTGAAAATTTTTCAATCGGGTTCAATCATTACTAAAACATTAGTTGCAAAATGACAGCTTGCAATTATTATAGTTTTTAAAGGGAGGAATTCTTTTCAATTTTAATAATTATAAGTAATTATTCATTATTATAAATTTATTGAAATAACTGATGATAGTTTATGTTTTTGCTTAATTTAATTATATTTTCTTAAAAAGAGAGATCGAATCGAAAAACTTTGGACTTGGGTAATTCCAAAGATCGGTTGAAATTCGAGATATTATTTTTGATACTCGTTGTTCGTTAAAAAATTGTTTACAAAATGTTCTTCAACTTATCTTATGCTTTATATTCATTTATGAATTAATTAATTTCTTTCTTATCTTTCAAAAAACCAAATTGTTGTTAATTAAACTAAACTCCTTATCATTTATTTCAGTCCAGAATGATAAAAAATAATTTGGAAGCTTGAATTTTGCATTCTAAGTTCCTTACAATAATTGTGACAAAAAGAAAGACGCAGAAGAAGTAAAATCAAATGATCTTGTTAATTAAAGCAAAACCAATTCAATTGTAAAAATAAATCTAATTCTAAAGTTAAGACTCCAGTGGAAGCGACTCAAAAAAAAAACTCTGATGCAAACAATCTCTATATCTTTTGAGAATTCTCAACCGAAAAATATTTACTCAATTTTTGATTGGAAAATTTCATGGTCAAATTTTAAAAATTGTCAATCAAATTCTAAAGTTATTTTTCTCTGATTTTAAAAATTGGTTATATTATACGTGTACGGAAGTGATTTTTCTATGAAGAATGTCATACAGGAAGGTTATGCTTCCAAAAGAATGAAATAAATGATTAGCAGTAATTTCTTAAGATCTAAATCCTAAAATTCAAAGATTGTGAATAAGAAATCGAACAAAAGTGACATGATGAATAATAATAACAATTAATGCTCAAATTGAAATAATTTCAGCATAAATTTCCTTTTGATTTTGATTGGACATTTTTTGAAGAAATCTTTTTCAAGCAAACCTTCAAAATAGAACTTGCTGCATTGCATTTATTTTGATTTTTCTTTCTCTCAGTCGGGAGTATCTTTTATTTTTAATCTTACTGTGCTTCATTGTGAATTATGTGTACTTAAAAAGAAATCATATTGTTGTTAAAAAATATATTGAATGATTTCTCGAAAATCCTAGGATCCTCATTTGATAAAACCTTATTAAAATTTGAGCAATTGCGTAGATTAGCATGATTGACATATAAACTTTTGCTCCAAATTAATCCGGGTATCAATTAACGTAAGCTTTCCTGTGTTCGTTCATAAAACAGTTCGCGCTTGTTTTAAGAAAAGTTTTATTTAAACCCCACTTCCAAATCATTGGGAACTAAAACTGAATCATATATAAGTCGATTGAAAAATATAATTCTGCATCACAATAACTTAAACATTTAAAGCAAATAGTTCTTTAAACTAAAAAACAATCAACTCAAAATGAAAGTAAGTTTTAAAGTCGATAAAAGATTTTTTATCATTTAAACTAATTTTCTTTTTAATTATCTTTTAAGGTATTCGCTTTAATCGCTCTTTTCGTCGCTTGCGCATCAAGCTCAGCAGTATGGCCTTATGCTCCATCAGCTCCATGGGCTTATTCAGCTTATTCACATGCACCAATCACACAATACTCATCATACCCAGCTTATTACGCTCATGCTCCAGCAGTTTCCTATGCTAATCACGTTGCTGCCCCATACGTTGCCAGCCCATATGTTGCTGCTCCATACGTTCACGCTCCAGTTGTTGCCGCTATCCCACATACAGCTACATACACAGCCGCAAACAAAGGAAGCGTACACACAGCTCCATTGCCAGGACATGCTGTCTCACAAACATCATTGAATTTGGCTCCAGCACCAGGAACCCACTAAATTAAGTCTAAGCAAAAACAAATAATGAAATGATTAAATCATAGTCATTGGGTACCAAAAACTGCCAATGTTTTCTATCCTCAAAAAATTAAATCATGGAAATGTAATTAAAATAAAAAAAAAGAATATCTTTACAAAAAAAAAAAAAAAAAAATCAATTCGTCTTTATTTCTCAAATATTTTTTTATCTCTTAACTGCTCTTTACTATTTTTTTTTATACAAATTAATTAGCAATTTTTATTGATTAATAAGAAGTTGATCGATTATTTTATTTTGCAAAATATGCATAAAAAATTATTTTACAAATAATCTTTATTTTATTTTAAATGTCATGTAATATGTAAGAAAAACAAAATTAGAGTCAGAAACACGATTAGCATTTACATTGAAACTGAAAAGTTCAAATTTTGGGATCTAATGAAACTTTAATAATTATTGTAAGGGTTGCAGTAATATTCTTTTTAGATTCTAGGCTTCAAATGGTTAAGTTTTGGAGCTGAAAAGTTCAAACGTGCTGTAAATATTTCCAGCAAAAATAATAGTAATCGTTTTTTGATTCTGTGAATTTTTGGTCAATTTTGTGATTATTAGATTTAAAAAACTCATGAACTTCTAAAGTTCAACTACTCATTCATAACAAATATTAGAGATGGCGGGATCAAAAATATTTTCTTTCACTTGCTAGCTCCTTTAGACAGATTATAAATAATTATTGATGATATCTCCAATTATACAAGAAATGAAATTTAACACCAAAATTTATTGCAATAAAAATGTAAAATAATAACATTTTTATGAGAAATCTGTTTCATGAAGGTTTTCCAATTTGAAATATTCAAAGCATTTATTTCATAAATTTCAAAAATTTCAAATCTTTGCTGTCCAATTGTTCATCTTCAAAAATACTAGCTTCAAAAGTGAGTAATAAGTTAAAAAGCTTAATTAGTAAGGACATCAAATTTAAAAAAAAAATATGACTAATGCTAAAAATGTTTAATCAATTATCAAAGCGACAGATGATAAGCATAAATATTTTTTGTAAACTGGTCTAAGGTATGCTTTCAAATAAAAAACAATTAAGAGATAATAAATACAAGAGAAATAAAGACGAATTGATTTTTTTTTGTTAAAATATATTTTTTTTATTACATTTCCATGATTTAATTTTTTGAGGATAGAAAACATTGGCAGTTTTTGGTACCCAATGACTATGATTTAATCATTTCATTATTTTTTTTTTTGCTTAGACTTAATTTAGTGGGTTCCTGGTGCTGGAGCCAAATTCAATGATGTTTGTGAGACAGCATGTCCTGGCAATGGAGCTGTGTGTACGCTTCCTTTGTTTGCGGCTGTGTATGTAGCTGTATGTGGGATAGCAGCAACAACTGGAGCGTGAACGTATGGAGCAGCAACATATGGGCTGGCAACGTATGGGGCAGCAACGTGGTTAGCATAGGAAACTGCTGGAGCATGAGCGTAATAAGCTGGGTATGATGAGTATTGTGTGATTGGTGCATGTGAATAAGCTGAATAAGCCCATGGAGCTGATGGAGCATAAGGCCATACTGCTGAGCTTGATGCGCAAGCGACGAAAAGAGCGATTAAAGCGAATACCTTAAAAGATAATTAAAAAGAAAATTAGTTTAAATGATAAAAAATCTTTTATCGACTTTAAAACTTACTTTCATTTTGAGTTGATTGTTTTTTAGTTTAAAGAACTATTTGCTTTAAATGTTTAAGTTATTGTGATGCAGAATTATATTTTTCAATCGACTTATATATGATTCAGTTTTAGTTCCCAATGATTTGGAAGTGGGGTTTAAATAAAACTTTTCTTAAAACAAGCGCGAACTGTTTTATGAACGAACACAGGAAAGCTTACGTTAATTGATACCCGGATTAATTTGGAGCAAAAGTTTATATGTCAATCATGCTAATCTACGCAATTGCTCAAATTTTAATAAGGTTTTATCAAATGAGGATCCTAGGATTTTCGAGAAATCATTCAATATATTTTTTAACAACAATATGATTTCTTTTTAAGTACACATAATTCACAATGAAGCACAGTAAGATTAAAAATAAAAGATACTCCCGACTGAGAGAAAGAAAAATCAAAATAAATGCAATGCAGCAAGTTCTATTTTGAAGGTTTGCTTGAAAAAGATTTCTTCAAAAAATGTCCAATCAAAATCAAAAGGAAATTTATGCTGAAATTATTTCAATTTGAGCATTAATTGTTATTATTATTCATCATGTCACTTTTGTTCGATTTCTTATTCAAAATCTTTGAATTTTAGGATTTAGATCTTAAGAAATTACTGCTAATCATTTATTTCATTCTTTTGGAAGCATAACCTTCCTGTATGACATTCTTCATAGAAAAATCACTTCCGTACACGTATAATATAACCAATTTTTAAAATCAGAGAAAAATAACTTTAGAATTTGATTGACAATTTTTAAAATTTGACCATGAAATTTTCCAATCAAAAATTGAGTAAATATTTTTCGGTTGAGAATTCTCAAAAGATATAGAGATTGTTTGCATCAGAGTTTTTTTTTTGAGTCGCTTCCACTGGAGTCTTAACTTTAGAATTAGATTTATTTTTACAATTGAATTGGTTTTGCTTTAATTAACAAGATCATTTGATTTTACTTCTTCTGCGTCTTTCTTTTTGTCACAATTATTGTAAGGAACTTAGAATGCAAAATTCAAGCTTCCAAATTATTTTTTATCATTCTGGACTGAAATAAATGATAAGGAGTTTAGTTTAATTAACAACAATTTGGTTTTTTGAAAGATAAGAAAGAAATTAATTAATTCATAAATGAATATAAAGCATAAGATAAGTTGAAGAACATTTTGTAAACAATTTTTTAACGAACAACGAGTATCAAAAATAATATCTCGAATTTCAACCGATCTTTGGAATTACCCAAGTCCAAAGTTTTTCGATTCGATCTCTCTTTTTAAGAAAATATAATTAAATTAAGCAAAAACATAAACTATCATCAGTTATTTCAATAAATTTATAATAATGAATAATTACTTATAATTATTAAAATTGAAAAGAATTCCTCCCTTTAAAAACTATAATAATTGCAAGCTGTCATTTTGCAACTAATGTTTTAGTAATGATTGAACCCGATTGAAAAATTTTCAAATGAAAACAATGTCGAAGTTCAACTGCTAAAGTACACTAAGTATTGTCTTGTCTAAAAGGTTGTAAATATTAGGGCCCTTAGCTTAATGATCCTTAGGTTCTAATAATTTTAAAAAAAATGGGAATAAATGAACGACTTCTTGAGCGTTGTTCGCTATTTAATATCAGCATAATCTATAAGAAACATTAAATTGTGTATCTGTTAAAGGAAATAAACAAAAGAAGTTTTTTTTTGTAAAGATATTCTTTTTTTTTATTTTAATTACATTTCCATGATTTAATTTTTTGAGGATAGAAAACATTGGCAGTTTTTGGTACCCAATGACTATGATTTAATCATTTCATTATTTGTTTTTGCTTAGACTTAATTTAGTGGGTTCCTGGTGCTGGAGCCAAATTCAATGATGTTTGTGAGACAGCATGTCCTGGCAATGGAGCTGTGTGTACGCTTCCTTTGTTTGCGGCTGTGTATGTAGCTGTATGTGGGATAGCGGCAACAACTGGAGCGTGAACGTATGGAGCAGCAACATATGGGCTGGCAACGTATGGGGCAGCAACGTGATTAGCATAGGAAACTGCTGGAGCATGAGCGTAATAAGCTGGGTATGATGAGTATTGTGTGATTGGTGCATGTGAATAAGCTGAATAAGCCCATGGAGCTGATGGAGCATAAGGCCATACTGCTGAGCTTGATGCGCAAGCGACGAAAAGAGCGATTAAAGCGAATACCTTAAAAGATAATTAAAAAGAAAATTAGTTTAAATGATAAAAAATCTTTTATCGACTTTAAAACTTACTTTCATTTTGAGTTGATTGTTTTTTAGTTTAAAGAACTATTTGCTTTAAATGTTTAAGTTATTGTGATGCAGAATTATATTTTTCAATCGACTTATATATGATTCAGTTTTAGTTCCCAATGATTTGGAAGTGGGGTTTAAATAAAACTTTTCTTAAAACAAGCGCGAACTGTTTTATGAACGAACACAGGAAAGCTTACACGAGTTGATACCCGGACTAATTTGGAGCAAAAGTTTATATGTCAATCATGCTAATCTACGCAATTGCTTAACTTTTAATAAGGTTTTATCAAATGAGGATCCTAGGATTTTCGAGAAATCATCCAATAATTTTTTTCTTGATCACATTTTTAAGGGGAGACGTGGGGGTTCAAATAAGAAGTTATTTATTAGTTATTTTAGAATGAGTGGAAAGGGGTAGGAATTCAAAGTATCCTTATCTCAAAAATGTACAATTACCTAATTAAAATAAGAATAATTATGTTTCCAGAACCTTTAAAAAAATCCCTTAATTCGATGCTATAACGAAGATTTTAAACTAGTTATTTGAAGAGAAAATTAAATGGCATTAAATAATAAATGAATCGAAAGAAAAAATTCGGAGAGCTTGTAATTTTAAGTTTTTTGTAAAAATGCGATGAAAGAATTTTAGATTAATCTTTTGACAATATGTCCACACTCGATTAAAATTGGTGTAAATGTATATGGGTGTATAATAAGAATTACATGTATGTAATATCTAATCCAGTCCATTCATTATATTAGTACAATGCAATTAATTTTTTTACAATATAATATTAAGTTTATATGGTGAAGGTGTTTAATGAAAATTCCAAGAGTAAACCTGTTTCCAACAGCTGTTTAAGAATCAATAACTAATTTCATTTAATTGTAATACTCAATTTAATCTTAATCTATATTCACATATAGAATATCCGCATATTTTCAAATGATTAAGCTAACAACTACGTTTTGTCCATTATACATGTTCAGTAACAACTTTTTAAACCACAAATAAATAGGAGAAGAAAAAAATCATGTGCGCTGAGGGGCTCCAATAATAATTTCTGGATATCAACTATACTAAATTATTGTAGACAGCAAAAGCAGTAAGTCTGTGCATAATTGTGTAACCTTAAAATATTCAACATGCCTAACTATATGGAGCACTATTCGAACAATCTGTTTTCCCACTTTGTGTACTACCTTGTTTTAAGATATTTATAGATCTATCAATTTCTTAATCTTACCTTTATTTGGACTTGTAATGATTTTATTGAATATATCCATAGCTAGAATTTTTATTTAAATAATTTTTTTTTTCAAAAATTCAATATACAATCATGAACCCTTGATTGGGTAAGGGGAGGAGTGGGTCAAAAATAATTTTGATTGACGTCACAAGTCTAAAGGAAACATGCTTCATTCTTTCGCAATACATAATGGAAAACAAGGCATGTCATATAGCATTCTTAGAAAATAATAGATTTCACTTTACCTAACGAATTAAGATACAATGTCATGGTCAAGTTCAACAGCTGTTTCAGTTCAGGAAAGCTATAACTTGTTTATTGTATCAAACTGCCTTACATTTTCATGCAGATTTCATTTGTGAACGCGGATAAATTGAATAATTATGTATACATATACCTAGGAATTTTTTGTTGCAGCAGCACATTCCTTCATGGGTTAATAGATCAATTATTTTTAGCTATATTGTCGTATTTGATTCTAATCCTACTATAATTTACATACTGAGCTCAATAGTTGAAATAGCCCATGAAAACCGTTATGATTTAAACTTGAATCTTGTATCGATATATTTTCATTATTGAACTGAACTAAAATGAAGTTGGATTACTGAACAATTGAGTTAATTTATTTGAATTTTAAATTGGCGTTATTTTCAAATACACGAAAGTCTTCAAAAACATTTAATTGTCATTAAGCTGGTGCTATTACGCACTAAACTGTTCATTATTCACTTATGTACGAGACTCTATAACTATACATTATAAAGTATGTTTATGACAGTTTTCTTTATTAAACTTATCATTTTATTAGTGTTAAACATGTAAATCTGATCCATAAAAGTTGTTTAAAATTTTTTTGTTTTTCTGAATTTAAAAATAATACTCGAGAATACTCTATTTATGCTGACTTCTTGCAGCTAATGAGAATCTTTCTAAAATAAAATTGGTGCATCAATTTTTGAATTTCAGTACTTTATCTCAGCAAATTTCAAGTACTTTAATTATTTTGCAGTATTACGAGCCAAGCCTGACTTTTTCTTACCAGAATTCTTGACTTTTGTCTTATTGCCTTCAGTTGGCATGACAAATGGCTTAATTGGATCTTTCTTAGTCCCAACAAATTTCATATCCAAGCATTCATGCTGTTGGGAATTAGAACTACGTGTTAGTGGTATATGACCTTGGAAATTAATATTTAGAGAATGTCGGATATTCCAACATTGACAGCAAAAGTAGCTAGAATTAAATAATTAAATAAGAAAATGCAAATTGATGGATTAAATTTTTTTTTTTGGTATACCTAAAGCAATTCACGTCACGACAAAAGTATTTTCCACGTTGAAAGCCGCATGATGAACATAACGAATCTTGAATAAAGGGATCAATTTGAAGTTTCTTCTGGAGCTTTCCAGACTTTACTTGAATAAACTTTGCAGCTACTGCTTGCATGTATGAATTCTGATTATTAAATATGACTCGCCCAGCTCCTTTTGGATAGCTATATTCGTCAACATCTATGCCTAATAACAGGTAAATAAAATCAGTAATTGTGAAAATCAATAAAATTATTCAATATTCTCACCAACAAAGGCCACGCCACCGAATAAATCATTCATGATTGTTGCTAATGCGTTAGCTAAGCGGAATAAAAATTAATTAACATTAATTACGAGATGTACCGACCAGAAAAAAATTCAATATTTATCAAAAATTTCAAATTTCAAATAATACCGACTTTTTGAATCAATATGTCTTTAACTACCTGACAATTTGCCATGAATTCCACCTATGAAAGCAGTTAAAGATTCATTCAAACTTTGATTTGAACAATTAACATGGCAGGCATCCGAAACTTTCCAAGGTATAATTTCTATAATTTTTTGCTTTCCAGAAATAACCATTCTGTGGAAGTAGCTACTACTTTTGTAAAAATATGTTCCGTTCTTTTTACAAGTATCCAATAAAGCTTTGACATCTTGTTCTGATTCAAAAATAACGTACGTAAATCCTTTAACTTTATTATTATTCTCATCGACTGGCCATTCAATTTTAATTGGTCCGAATTCATTCAACAGTTTGTTAATATCTTTGTTATCAAATTTCCACGGTATACCACCAAGAAAAACTTTCTTAGAATAAGCAGCATCATCCTTTGTTTTTGTTGAAATCGGACCACTCCAAACACAGCTTAAATTACTCAGTTGTGATTGATTTTGTTTTAAATAAAGTTGATTATAAGCAGTAAGTTGTTGGATGTGTGCATTAAGATGCAAGCTTAGCAATTGTGGATTTTGAAGTGACAAAATCTGAAGCTGATTTAAGTATGCATTATTTTGTTGCTGATAATCCAGTTGACTTTTAGTGTTCGATGTCTGCTGAATACCATGATTTATGCTGGATGTATTGGGTTGTTTATCAAGTTTAGTTCCTACACACTTTGAAGCATCATTCATTGAGGAACCATCATTTTCTAGCTTGACATCACTCATCAAGCTACTGAGGTTCTTAACAATATCAGTATATAACGAATTTTCAGCTTGAAATTTGTATCAAAAATGTTAAAATTCAAAAAATATCTTGTTTTCTTACTTTATTTTAACTTACATTCACTTGTTTTGTCCATTTTGAATCGTTATTGTCAGGAAATCGTCTTTTAACCACTTAATTATGCTCTAAAACTGTCTTAAAATTAATAATTAAGATTCTTAAAAAATTATACACAAAACGAGTCGTTAAAAATTGAAAATTCGTTCAGACATCCAATAATTCGTTTTCATTCAGTTTATTCAATTTTTAAATTCTGAAAATTCGTTGACAATTTGAATTCTGAAAAACCGATATAAAAATTGAAATCAAACTGTAAAGATGAGCCATAAAATTAAGTCAGTTCTATTTTTATTTTCTTTATTATTCTCTTTCAGCTTACAAGATTATAATTTTTTTATTATTCGCATAAACGTGTTTCATGTTTTCATTCATTTTTAATATTTATCATCTTGCAGTTATTCTTACGAAGAAAGAAACTTAAAAATGATTTTTTCTTATTTTTTGATAAAAATTATAAACTAAGCCGTTTACTAAAAATGGACATTTTTATCATATTCATACTTTTTCATCTTTATATAACCACTTTGCTTTCACCAAAATAATCAATTAATATTTTTCTCGTTAATTATATAATTCTTAAGAATAGTAAGAGATGTCTCGAAAAAGGAAATTTTCAATCAAAATATATATAGGTATAGTATAATTAATATGTTTTCAAGTTCTCATAAATTCTTGTTTCCAATCCCTATTTTATCATTTCGTGAAATTTCTTAGAAATCATTCTTCCTCAATATTAATACCTACTGATAACGTACATAAGAAGTCATTCATTTTTTTCATCCAAGTATAAGTATGTGAGGGAAATATAAAAACAATAAAGGTTTTGTGACATGTGAGGCTATTTTCATTTTGTTTTCACGAATCCAATTCATAAAATAAAATAAAATTGAATGGACGATTAAATATTTTATCTAGGTTTTATGCTTTTTTATTATCTTTGCCTTTTTATCCGAGAAAGAAATGAAAAAAAGAAGCCTTAAACAACATGAAATGGAATTAAAAAAAAATTACTAAGAGGATGAAGCCTTTTCGGAAATCATAAAGTATAATAAATACAGAAATTGCATGTAGTTCTTTTGCAAGGTTTTTTAATCATCAGTAACTGGAAAGTCTATATTGTTTGTGTGTTGATTGTAAAACCAAAAATATAAAACATTAAGGACAAAATGAGGCTGGTGAATTAATTAAATTGTTTTTTTTTTTGCAACAAGTTTTAAACACAGCAATAGTTTAATAGCAGAACATCCTTGATACACAGTAAATTTATTATGTTGCTTGCTGCTGTGATTTGTTCAATTTATGCTTAATTATCCTCCATAGCATATCGTTGAGTCCATTCTTTGGCATTACGTATTGCTTCAGCCTCATTAACTTTCCACAATTCAGCAACATCGTTAGCAAGAGGATCGTCTGGATTTGGAGCGCTTAATAAGGCTTGGATTGATAACAATACAGTACGAATTTGCAAAGCAGGAGACCATTTATCTTTGAGAATGTCTAAGCAAATTCTACCTAATCTATCGATATTTGGATGATAAATTTTCGTAATAAAACGTACTTTTGGAGCCGACATTGGATAGTCTTCGGGCAAAAACAATTCCAATTTAAATAGGCCTCCTTCGAACGGCGAATCCTCTGGACCGGTAACAATTACATGGAAATAACGAGCATTGCTTTCGTCAGGAACAGCTAAAAGACAAGATTTTCAATCATCCAGTAAATGAAATTTAGCAACAATTGTATTAGATATACCTGAAATTCCTGGAACAGGTTCCTGCATTAATCTCTGAGTTTCCTTAATGATTCGTCTAGGTAATGCAGCCATTGTTTGTTGTTGTAATCTTACTGTATTTTTGTTCCTTCTTTTCTACTAAATCGCTCGCTTTTCCAAATTGTTCTCTCTACTCAAATTATCCCCAATTATATTCAACTAATAACTTTACACCTTACTATTATGTCCAACAAATGTTAGTTCCAACATAAGCATCAAAATATTCTATAAAATCAATGGCTTTACCAATTTTTTCTTTCTTTCTTGATCGAATTTTTTCTTTGTTGGCAATTTTTAATAACAAGTTCGCTAGCGGTTTTGGCTGAAATCATCGTAAAATATATTAGTACATTCCATCTATCGATTCTATGCCTTCCAAACTACTTACATATTGAATTAAATGTTTATATAAATGAAAGAAAAATGCACAATGAAATTTTTCCTGAATACAATTTCTGTTATAAATAACTTTAACGTCTATGTGACTAGAGCGCATTTAAAGTATGAGAAGGTATTAAATGGAAATTTCATGAAATCAGTCAACAGATAACTTATCGTGACCAATACGGTTGAATTCTTCATGATCTCATTAATCAACACGAATTAAGCGCTAGCTATAGTAAGATTTTAAAGTGAACTGAGTGGATTGGCAGTTGGATATGCATAGACAAAAGAACCATATGTATTCAAAAAGTAAGCTAATTAGGGCGAATTCGACAGGAATAACAAACTCGTCCGTGAGAAAATGAAGCTCAAAAATCTTATTCCTAATGTAGAGAAACGCGTTAAAAACATCAAACAATCAATAAACAGCACAGAAAAATGAGTAAGTCCATAATTAATGAATTTTTTAATAAAAGGAGAGTTATTAATTCAATGTTAATTAATTACAGCTGATAGATATAATATTCACAGCCAATTGGAGCATTTACAAAGCAAATATATTGGAACTGGACACGCAGATACAGTAAAATATGAATGGCTTACAAACATCCATAGAGACAGTCTATCTTCATATATTGGACATTACGATCAGTTATCATATTTTGCTATTGCCGAAAATGAGAGTAAAGCTCGCGTTAGATTTAACCTAATGGAGAAAATCCTACAGCCTTGTAACCCACCAGAAAAGGTCGAGAATGAAGTTCCTTAAACTGTTTAAAATGTAATAAATAATTTAATTTCATGCATCAATCATACAAAATTTTAATGTTGTTTTGTGCTAGTTTTCAGAGAATTGAGCTAAACTCAAGTCATTTTGGGAACAGGACATTAAAATAGTGTCACTTGTCAGTTCACAGCCTTTATTGTAAAAGATTCAAAATGGTACAAAATAAATGGAGTTTCATGCCTAAATGTGTCTTCTATGACTAGGCAATATGCTATATATTCATTAGAAATGATTATCTTAATTTATATTCTTGGATACTCTGTACAAATCCTTTACACAGCGATTTATTTCAGCAAAATTAGTTAATCCGTAGATATCACCACAGGACAGATCATTAAACTTCTTGAATAATTCGTCCATCTTATCCTTACATCCATTAATCAAGTCTTGTTTGCATAAATTTGCCAATTCTGTAACTTCATACTTCTTAGCCATTTCCAGTAATTCAGTGGTGTTGGCATCAAATTCATTAATCGAGATTGTATCAGTATAAAGGAATCGCAGGAATTCGGTAGCAACTTCCTTGCTAGCATCTTCGATTGCATATGTGTTAACATCATCATTTAACATTTTGGCAAAAACTGGGCTTCGAGAAGCAAGCAATGCCTTATTTACAGAAATTTCTTCATTATTAGCGCAAATGAGTTTCATATCCGTTAATTGTGGGGCTTTGTAAAGCAAAGCAAAGTCATGAGACAATTTGGAGCGTTCCTTTTCAAAATTTTCGAGATTGAATGATTTGTAGCTGATGTCATTAACGATAAACTTTATGTAAAAGAATAAAGTATCAAGATATATTGTACAATAAATCTGTTATTTTAAAGCTCACCTTAACGTCCAATTCTAAGATAGAGTCTTTTGTAACGAACTTGTGCCAAACTAAAGAATTTAAGTTATTTCTTTGTCCACAGAATCCTTCAATAGTCATCATAACTTTACGAAATCCAGCAGTTGCTAAAGGTCGTCGCTTATAATTCGTACGCACATCAAAACTAAAGAAAGTTTTGCGATTTTCATCATCCGGAACTTTTGTAAAGAACACCGTAAAGTAACTACGAGCAAACATGCGATCATTGAAATTTTGATATTTTGACTCAACTTTTGGAACTAGCATAATTGTGCACTCGATACCATCTCCTAATATCAATTTTTCCGAATAAATGTTTCGGATCTGGAAATTTGGAATATTCCACTTGTAATTGACTTCAAGCACTTCTGATGAGGAGTCTTGATTGACTTTTACTTGATTATTATGTCCCATCTTGTTATTAAAATTGATTTATCAATAAATTTAATTATTTTAAGTGTCTCTTTGATTTGCGAGAAAAAATGTGTTTTTATAGTTGATTTTTCCCTATCAATTGGCACTAAAAACACAAAATGAATTTCAAAATTAAGTTTTCCGTTTAAAATGCTCTTCCTGCTGACATCATTTTTGATTGTCCCCAATTGTTTACATTTTTTATCGAACGTTTTTCATTAAGAATTGTTATTTAAGAGATTACTGCGAATTGTAATAGAACATAGATCTAAAAATGTATAGAACAACTGCAGTAAACTCCCTAATATTCAAAACCATCAAGTCTATTACAGACAGCAATCGTAAGTCATGATAATTAATTAAATCTATTTTAACCTTTAATAAGAGAAATAAAATATTTATACATAACTTTTAGTCATGTTTTCGAGAAACTTATTTGCTGCCAATACTCTTGGATTGGATACATATGTTCTGTCAAGAGACCGGACTAAGATGCAAATACCAAATGTTGACAAATTCAAGGCTAAAATGGTAGAATTTGTTAAGGACGAGAATGCAAAGAATTTAATATTTACGGAAGATTTAAAGAATATGGTTCATATTTCACAGAAAGAGGATATTGAGTTATTGTCGCAGATGATCAAAAGATTCTGTTCACAAAGCAAGGAAGTACGATTCGGAAATTTCATTTTTGGACCGCCGTTAATGAGATTCTTTCATCATGTAAAAGATTCTGAAGGTGCTTTAAAGCTATTTAAGGATGAATCATTGGGTGGATTCTTTGATCAAGTAATTACCTATCAAATACTATTGGATCTTCTTTTCGAAAAGGAGCAATATCAGGAAGTGCTTGATACCTTCGATATTATTCAGTCAAGACAGCTTCAAGGTGCTCGCTATCCAAAGCACGTAATTATTCTTGTATTTGGAGCTTGTTATAAACTCAATACTAATGAGTCGTTTGAATATGCTAAAAAAACTTGGCAAAAAGCTGTTGATGCTGGTCATATCCCATTAAGACGTGGTGCTACATTTTTGTCAGCATTAGCATTAAAACAAGATCAACCGTTTGTAGCACTTGAAATCCTTACAAATCTTAAAGGACAAAATTATGTATCAGTTCGTGCATTAAAATCCCTTGCATTAGCTAGATTGAAGCGATTTGATGACGTAATTCCAATAATTCGCTCACTTTTGGATGTAACAAATCCAATGAATGTAAAACAGACGATTCCAAGTGATGTCGTTGAAGAAATCCAAAAATTATTCAAAGAACATAATACAATCAAGGATTTACAGGCAGAGTTTGAAAAAATTGTCAGCTTCTTACAAACGCACGGTCATTTAGGAACCGAAACTCTCGATCAAGTATTATGCAGTGAAATTCAAATAAACCAAGATCAACAGCAGAGGCAAGGACAGGGATCGCAGCAGCATCAAATTCGTCATGTGCGAAATTTAAAGCAAGTGGAACTTGATAGACCGTCAAAATCATTCCGACGTCCAGGCTTACACGAACTTAATTGAATAGGATATAGAGATTGATTTCAATATGGATAGTAAAGTTGTAAAAACATTTTATTAAAGTAAATAACACATTAAACACACAACTTTTTCTCTTATGGCTTGTCTTCCTTCTTTGTCCTTTAAAAATACACTTAGTGATGTGAATACTGGTTCAAAAAATTCATTTTCTAGCTCTATATCTTCGAAGTTTCTGCACATAGCAGTTTAGACAGCATCCACACCTTACATTTAACATAAGTAATAATTATTCAACCTTCTTCCTTGTCTGATCCTTCTTTCTCTTTATTTCCTGCTTCAATTGGGCAGTCTTAACTTTGGTAATTAAATCAAAGCTCATCATCAGCCATCGAGCCAGAATGAATAGACAATTTAGTAAAATTGGACAGCAGAAAATTATACTAATAAACATCCCATTTGAATCAAAGTAATTCTGTTGAGAAAATTTGTAAGCATTAGTCGCTGCTAGTTCATTAAGGTACTCTGAGAAATAAACCATTAATACTGAAAATGACATAAATTAAATTAAAATAGATCCCGGAACATTTTATGACAACTCACATAAAGCCATAAAAAGGACTATTTGGAAATTTAAACTTATCAAAAATGCTAGTGTAGCACAAATGATATGAAAGACTAGAATCCCGTATAGCCAATACTCATGCTGCCAGTCAATTGACTTTAAATACGAGAAAATGTCTGTTATTTCATTGACTTCCACTGAATTTGGATCAAAATCCATAATTTGTTTGTTTTCTATGACTTATTCTAATGGAACTGATGTACACGAACGAAAAATAACTGGATATAAACAATGTTTGTATGTCTAATTTGCCTGTATTCGCTCCATTCGAGCACGTGACAAAACTTTAAAATTAATCTTCGAGTCAATTTTACTCATCGCTCTCATAAATATTTTAGTCGTACAGGAACAATATCATTAATCGTTATCATTTACAATTTGGAAGAAGTCTCAAGAGATTAATAATTCTAATTTCGTGTTTGTCAGTTATTGCTTAATCGCCGTTGTGAAATTGTCAGTTCCAAAAAATCTCGAAAAAATACATTAAAGATGCAGATCAAAGTTGGAATCATTGGAGGCACTGGACTTGATAATAACAGAGAATTGATTGAACAACGTACTGAAATAGTTATTGATACAGCATACGGGTCAGTTCCTGTAATTGAGGGTGTAATAAGTGGAGTCAACTGTGTAAGTATAATTGGCTATTAATCATATAGATACGATAATCTAGCGATTAAGTGATAAAACATATTCATAAAAAGGTACTATTAGCACGACATGGCAAATCACACAATGTAATGCCTTCGAATGTTAATTATCGTGGAAATATCATGGCTTTGAAAATTCTCGGATGTACCCATGTCATAGCAACAACCGCGACAGGTAAAATAACAGTTTGCTTTTATCAAGGCCATAGAACTCCCTGCAGTTTGTCTGCAATCACTACTCAAATTTTCAAATTTTTACTTATGTTTCAGTACACTTACTATTCAATGTATCACAATCACTGCAATTACTTAACTTTACTGCACTTAACTCTTCTTTACTACACTTTACTATAATTTACCACACTAAGCTTAATTTTACCACACTTCTTCACTTTAGTGCACTTTACTGATGCAGCTTTAAATCACCCACAGACCAGAATCCCCACGCAAATTTCCCCGAAGTCCCCACAAAACAAAAATCACGGGTTTCCAAAACCACCACTTAAAAATGTTTGTGGTGTTTCTGCAAAACAGTGTATTTCATAAACACCACATATATTTCCAAGTGGTGGAAAAAATCACACGTGTGTTTTTATTCACCACATATAATTGCAAGTGGTGTTCTCATAGAAAAAATATTAGAATTTGTATGGTTTTGGAAAAAATCAAATATCGAATATTTGAAATTTCATACAAATCGGAAAAATCAGATATTTGAATATTTGATTTTCCTCAAAACCATACAATTATTTCTATGAGTGCATTTTTCTTTCGTTACTGTTCTTCGAAATTAGAAAGACATTCTTAATGTTGAAATATTAGCTTTTCGAATTTAGCTTAATAATTTTATTTTTTTTATATGAGAAAAGATTCATTTTATCTATGTTAATATTTTCTCAAGACTTAAAAGAATTTTAATGAATGAAATTTCAAATAATAAGCGGTTCTTAAGTTGCGATAATATTGACTATTTATAAATGAATTGTATGGTAAAATATACATTATTTCAAAATTAATGCACATCAACTTTAAACATTTTGGTTTTTAAAGTTTTAAACAGTTTTAACTTGCTATACTCTTACTTTACTGACTATACTATTTTGGGAGTTCTATGGCCTTGGCTTTTATACTTAATTCATTTCATTGACCATTATTTTGAATCTAGGATCATTGAAGCAAGAAATTGCACCCGGATCTATTGTCATCCTTAATGATGCCATTGATAGAACTAAAAATAGAGTATCCACATTCTATGATGGCTCTGATTTATTCCCAGGAGTTTGTCATCTACCAATGTCACCATTGATGGACGAAAAAACACGTCAAATAATCATTGATACAGCTAAAGAATTGGGAATTGAAGTATTCAAAGATGGAACTGCTGTTTGTATCGAGGGTCCACGTTTTTCAACGAAAGCTGAAAGTAATATGTTTAGATCTTGGGGATGTGATTTAGTGAACATGACAATCGTTCCTGAAGTCGTTTTGGCTAAGGAACAAGGCCTGTTATACGCATCAATCGCTATGGCAACTGATTATGACTGTTGGAGAGAAAATACTGATGGTCGCGTATGCGTTGAGGAAGTTATGGCTACATTTAAAAATAATGTAGAAAAAGTCACCAAAATAATTCTTGGCGTTATTCCAAATATAGCTAAGCTTGACTGGACAGAAACTATTCAGGATTTAAATTCATTGATCACTGGATCTGTCATGTTACCTGATCAATACAGCAAGTAAAAATTTGCCTCAAACATCAGGGAAGTTGAAAGTAAATAACAATTAGTTTCAACTATAAATATACACGTTTGCATTTGATTCCTTAAAACTTTTAAAGCACTTAATTCGAATAATATATTGCACATGATTTGTGACAATTTAAACTTAAAATATGTCTCAGTGTTGTTGAGAATGGGTTTCAACAATAAAGCTTTGAGTGCTGATGACTCAGAATAATAAAATTTACGAAGTAAGTTTGGTAAGCTTAATTAACAGTGTCAGTGCTTTTATTCAAATATAATTGTTTATAAGACCTATATTTAACAAAAAATATAAGAATTATATCGTGACAATTTTATGTTTAAAAATATAAATAATATTTTTTAAGAATTTTTGCGAAACTAGAACGTTTGGACTTATTGCTTAACTTAAACAGTGTGTTCCTTTAAGGTAGGCATAAAAAATTACTATACGAATAAAAATATTTTATTTGTGACATTTAAATGTTGAGCACAAGCTTTGATAACTTATTAAGCGGCAGATGAATTGCATCATGTCGTTTTATAATCACTCCAGTTGCAACTGTCGTGCCTTGTTCTCGAATTGTGAATGGCTGATATTCAGACATTACCATTTTCTTAAAAAGAGTTATTCGTACCTTTCCATGCTCGCCGGGCATTAAAATGCCACCATTTTCTATGTCTAATCTTGCTGGAATATTCCATGTTCTACTAAATAATTGTTGGATATACTTTGATGCCAATGGAAGTTTACGACCACCTTCTTGTCTTGTTAACAGATACATATTAGCATCATAATGATTGGATAAGCATTCAGTATTGTAAGCACAAAGTAGCATTCCACGTTGAATATTACTAAGTTTTATATTTCGTAACAAGACACCGACATTATCGCCAGCTATTGCTTTTGGCGTACTCTTCTTAAAAATTTGTATATCTGATACTGTTGATTTAATTTGTTGATCAAAGCCTAGCATTTCAATTTCGTCATTTCTTTTCATTGTTCCTCGCTTGATTGTTCCTACAATAACGGAACCACGTCCAGGAACTGTGAAGAAATTATCAATTGGCATAAGAAGTGGACTTTTAATATCTCTTTTAGGTGTTGGAATAAATTGATCAATAGCTTCAAGTAGCTTATCAATCGACTGTTTTCCAATGTCACTTTCATCCCCTTGCAGTGCTTTCAATGCTGATCCACAAATTATTGGACAATTTGCACCATCAAATCCATATTCGCAGAGAAGTTCTCTTAGTTCTATTTCCACTAATTCTAACATTTCATCGTCTGCCTGATCCGCTTTGTTAATAAAGACTACGATATACTTAATTCCAACTTGTTTAGCTAGAAGTAAATGCTCTCTCGTTTGAGGCATTTGACCATCATCAGCTGCTACCACTAAAATTGCACCATCCATCTGCGAAGCTCCTGATATCATGTTCTTGATATAATCAGCATGTCCTATTATGAATTAATCGATGGATTTAAATTAATCGGGAGATTTGCAACAAAAAGAAACCCAAGCTCTAAATCGAGCATTTAACTAACCTGGACAATCAGTATGAGCATAAGTCCTATTTACTGTCTCATATCCAATATGTGCTGCATTTATTGTTATTCCTCTGGCTTTTTCTTCTGGTGCTTTGTCAATCTCATCATAGGATGTAAAATTAGCTAATCCTTTCTTAGCTAGAACAGCAGTTATTGCCGCTGTAAGAGTTGTCTTCCCATGATCGACATGCCCAATCGTTCCTACATTGCAATGAGGCTTTTCTGATGATTTTTCCGAAGGTTTTGCTGTCGAATAACATTTTTTGGATAAAAAGCTCAATTGCGGATGTTGACTCCAACATATTTTATGCTTAACAAGTAAATTGAGGTTTATTGATGCTTGTTTATTTGTTAAATATCTTAGTAAATTCTTCATTTCTATTATTTAAATGTTTTCAAGTTAATTATGTTTACAAAATAAAATCCCCAGCATTTCAAAAATGACGTAACAAAGTTTTTAAGTTTGATCCACATAACCTTAAATTAATTCAAATTTTTTCGGTACGTTAAGCCTATTTTTAAAATTATTTCTCATTTCTTCCTGTAACTTTACACACGAATAATTGTAGAACTTTTTCCAGCCATCCTTATCATTGTCTTCAATAACTCTATTTAAAAATCTCATGATTAGGAACGGAAGTTCTAGGTCTTTAACTCTTATTAGTTGCATCAAATCACTGCAGATTGTATCACGAATTTCATCACTTGGCTCATTAGTCTCCTCAATCCAAGCTATTATCATTGATCTCCAGCATTCAGCCTTGAAGATGTTATCAGCATTTAATGATTCTTTTACTTCTTGTATATTTTCAGTTGATCGAACTGCTAAAACAGATGTGATGCTATCATTTTGAAAACTTTCAATGTCTTCATGTTCTAAATCATATTCCCTCAAAATTTCTTCAACAATTTCTGGTGGCAGTTCCGACAAAACATCTGGATCGATTACTTTCCTTTTCTTTAATGTTTTTTTGGCACTAAACATGTCGGCAACAGATGTAACATTTGAGCTCGATACAACTCGTTTTAGTGTCCTCGTCTTCCTTTTTTGTGGTGAAACTTTTATGGACTTGACAGGAATTGGTTCAATTTTGATCCTAGAGACGTTGGTTTTTGCTTCGGGATTTTCAGACATTTTCTTAAACATCTCTAAAAGCTTTCCTTTGTTTTTCTCTTCCTTTTCTTCATCCAATTTAGACACTTGTAGACCGATTCCTCTCAAATCATTTGCTGGAATATTAAGTGACAGCAGTAAGTTTACAGCACTTTTAAAAAATACATGAGAATCGCTAGTTGATGTCTGAAGTTGCACAGATTTGCTGACTTTCTCAGCCTCTCCATGTCCCATGAATTTTATGGACTCTGAAGATGCATTCCTTGCTCTCATCATAATTTTTAATGTCAAGCATTTTCCTTTCTTCTCAATTTCATCAAGCCGCTTACTAAGCTCCTCACAGACTTGTCTAAAAAATAGCTTAACTTCATCGTAGTCATTAAATCGTATACCGTAATTTACATCAACTGACACTGACTTCCGGACTTGTTCAAAATTCAATTTCTTATCATCCAGACCTCTAGACATTTGCAGCAATGTCTCGCCAAATTTCTTCCCAAAATGATTTTGAAGCTCTTGAAGTGGCATGTTATGGATCTGACTACAATATTGAAGATTAAGTTTATCAAGTGTAAACGATGTAGAATATCCAACGCCTGGCAAGTCGCTAATTTTGATGTTGTTCATATACTCTAAAACATTTCTTGATATTAATTCATATTGATTATTAGGCTTTGCATTCTTTGTTGCCATTCTTGCTTGAAGTCTATTAGTTCCAATTCCAACAGAGCATGTACATCCAGTTTGTTCAAATATTTCCTGCCTTATATGAGTCACAAAGTCCATAAAATCTACGTTGCAATATTTAATCATGCTTGTTAAATCAGCATATAATTCATCACAGCTTACAGCTTCAATATCCAATGTATATTTAGCAACTGTATTGTACAAATTAAATGCCGTTTTTCTATATTCTTCAAACTCATAAGGAATAGTTTTTAAGTCGGGACATAGCTTCAAAGCTTGTCCAACAAACATACCATTTTTAAGACCTTTAGCTCTTGCCTCATATGAACAAGATGCAATTTCAGAATAAGACATGAAATCCTCACTCGACTGCTCTTTCTTGCCTTTTGAGTGAGTCACAGCAATTGGAAAGCCTTTCAATTGTGGAAATTTCTTCAGACCAACGGAAACAAAGAAGCAGTCCATATCGATGTGCATTATTATGTCTTCTTTAGGTAAATCATTCTGTTTTGGGAACTTTTTTTTAATGATTTCTCTTTCTGGAAATTCACCATCATGCTTCTTTCTTAGTTCAGTCACGTAGAACTTAAATCCACTGCCTAGAGTTGCTATATGATGCAAACGTGAATTTGCCAAGAATTCTTGAAGAAAATTCTTATCAACTGCTGTTCCTGTCTTCTCGTCTGTGGATGTACTTTGAAGTTTCTGATTTAAGGTATCTAAATTAAATGAGACGTTATCTTTTTCTTCCGTTTTAGATTCGACCTTCTTAAATGTAATTTGTCGTTGCATTGAATTTTGATTTGTATGCAGCAAGTAATACGAGGAATCAAGGATTTTATTGGCCTTTAAACAGTCTGTGATCCATTCTGGTTTGATTATATTTTTTGTGATGTTCGATCGAATTTTAACGTCTGGAAGATTGCTGGCAATGATGTACTTTGTATGACTTCTCTGATAATGATGATAAATTCCACCATTTTCAAGCATTATTCTTTTCAGCTCGTCTGCTGTTGGAGTCGTACGTCCGTTCACAAATATTGATATACCTAAAGATAAGTTATAGATGGTTAATAGCTATAAGTTTACTGGATCAACGGAATTTACCTTCAAACAAACTGGATCTTTGAAAATCCTTTTGGAGCACTGTAAATTGCTCTTCTAGCTTGTGAATTTTAGCTGTCATATATCCTCCATGATCTCCAAAGCCATTTTCTTTGTAATGATGCTTCTTCATCGGATTATTTGTCGGTTCCAGTACAGATTTTTCCATTTTAACAATTATTCTTCTTTACACAATTTCACAATTTAATGAAAATTATATATGTGACATGCGTATGTACTAAATGAGAAGGAATGTTTACAGTCTGTTCTATTAGATTTAACGATAATAACAGTATTATTATGCTTAAAATTAGGTAAATTTCAATTTATTAAAAGTTTATTTTTTTTGCAAATTTTGCGCGATTCTTTGGGCTCGTTGACTAGCTACGTAACGTTTAAGGGGTGTTTTTTTATTGCGTTACGTAACATGTTAACGGTTTCTTGTTTTCAAACAAAAATGCAAGATCAAGAATCGGAAAATTCATTAACTTATGAAAATTCCGATAATAGTGACTTTGTGGAAGAGGAGATCTTAGTGTATCTTGATATTGAACAAACGTCTATTTCGGAGAATGAAATAAGAGATGCACCATGCCTTAGAATAGTCGCAAATGACAAAAATTCATTGTTGCAAATCAACAATCGATTTTTTGAAGGTAAATTAAATTAAATATTATGTTTAACGCTTTATTTAATTGTAATGTATTTTAATTTTCAGGAAAATTTGATTACTCAATAGGAACACACGTATTTTTCGAAAGGAACGAAAATTCTGCTGTTGATCCACTGTATTGTCGCTGTGATTCTGTGTACGAATTTAATGCAAAAACAAATAAAATATTAAGCATGAATCGTGTCCTATTAAAAGATATATCCATAGAAGATGAAATCGCTCAACAAGCTGAATCAAAATCCGAAGATAATGACTTGAAAGTCAGCAAAACTTATGGACAAGCATTAAATCTGTTTTTAACACCAAAGAGAACGCTACCGAGGAAAGTCAATGATGATGACGAGAAAGTTTTGATAGATTTAATCAATACTCATTCAGATCAGAATATTATGGAAACTGAAGAATTAAGTACATTGACAGAAGCTATGGATCAAAATAGTTTAGAGCCCGAAAGCTAGCGAAATAAATAGTGTAGAGCTAGCAAATGCTAGGCTTGATAAGATTAATAAATATGTATGAAATATAAAATAAAATGATAATGAATAAGTAAATTAATTTGTAAACATTGAAGGAAATGTTTTCGTGTAAAGTTTAATTTAAGTAAAGAAATCCATAATGGATGGTTAAGGGTGCTAAGAAGTCAAAAGAAAATACAGAAAGTAAGAAGATACCGAAAAGAAATCCAAAACCTTTAAATTTGTTTAACGATGAAAACATAAGCTGAATTTAAGTAACAACAACGATAATTCAGCAACTTATTCATCAGATAGATTTCATTCCAACAGCAAAGAGTTCATTAAACAAATTTATGAGAAATTAAAAGACTTGAATGAGCTACCAGTAGCAATTTTAATGCAACGTTCGGAAATTAGTGTCAGAGGACACTTTAGCTAATTACTTTAGGTACTGAAAAGGGCAAACGAAATGCTGGTCAAACTTTGTCACGTTTAAGTATCAATCAATCCCGAGTAAGGATTTCCTAGTCAACGATCATTGGAAGTTGATAGACCATTACTTAATCAACTTCATACAGACTACAATGAACTTGAGAACTTTGAAGCATTTTTGGCACTTTGTTATTTAGCTCAAATGAATGATTCAGTTCGTAATTGCATAATGATTCGACAGAGTAAAACAGTTGCTGAGAAAATATTCGATACTGATGTTTTGCAGCTTTTCATGGGCGTCACTCAGCTTAACGACGAAAAAAGAACAAAGGCAGTTGAAGAAGCCAAATTAGTTCTAAAGAAAGCAGAAGATATGAAATTAATTCAAGAAAAGAAAGATAATGCGAATGACATGATGCCAGATGTCTTTCAACAGCCTCAAAATGTAGATTTAGAAGAAGACAACCAAAATATTTGACTTTTTTGTATTTTTTGACCATTTGTACTTAATTGATTTTCTAATTTTAATTTGGAGAGTTAAAAATAAATCCATGAGATTGAGATGAGACACATTTCTTTTTCTCCTTGATCAATTTTTTCTGCTGCAATTCACTTCCTCACTATCGAAATGTTCCCATTGCATTTGATTGGACTCTATGTTTGATTCATTACTATTACTAATGCTTTCTGCTTTTTGTGTGGTCTCATCGTATTTATATATTTGATTTAAAAAAACATGCATTTTGTGCTGGTGAAAATGTCATTTTCTTTTCTTACAAAATGATAAAAATTCAGTTTACAAATGAAAATAATTATCCCAGCAACCATTGAAATTTGACCAATTCTGAAATTTTTTCAGTATTGTGTAAACATTAAAAGTGAGAGGATCAACAAATCAAGATGTCAACGTCAACTTTGCTCAACACAGTTCAGCGGTTCATGAAGCTTTTAGAGGATGAAGATGATCAGCTGGACAACAATGGAAGCACAAACGAAATTGCCATAGTGGAGATAGAAGTGAGTGGACTCAGTCAATATCGTGTGGTTTGTATGATTTTCATTCAAGAAGCATCATGTCAAGTTGGTACTTCCAACTGGATGAAACTGACAAAAATGTTTTTACAACATTTCTTGACTTTTTTAAAGATTTTTGAGAGGGGTCCAGATTTAAGGAACTAAGCACTTCTTTCATTAGCTAATGAAATTTTTCGGTTCTAAGTAGTCATACGATGCGTACTGGCTGCATTGCAACCTACGGAACTGCTTAGTTCCTCAGAACTGGACCCATCTTTAAAATCGTTTGAAAAGTCAAGAACTGAAGTGAAATTTTTTTGTCAGTTCCACCCAGTTGGAAGTGCCAACTAGACATGATGCTTCTTGCATGGAAATAATACTAAACATGCAAGCAAGCACCTGATATTCATCATCCTTCGATGATTAATTTCAACTTGTGAAAAAATTTTAATTTTTTTTTCTCATTTATTTATTTTAGCAACCAGTTCCTGAGCTCCTGAGAACGTGCAGCATGCCAATAATAAATGCTGGAACCGAAAATCCACGTCTCGTTCGATCATTCAGCATGCCGACAATGATTCCTTTGTACAGGACCTTTCAATCCATGTCCGAGAAATTGTTGCAGATCGAGAGAGCTATTGGCGAGAAAAGGAATCTCTTAAAGGTGAGTAATTATATAATAATATTTTTAATTTAAGAAAAACTCTAAAATAATTTTAATTTTTAATTTCAGTTCATGTTTGAGAAGCCTTCTTTGGAAAACTTGCCTCATGATCTCATGAAGCAAGCATCGAAAGAAGATTCATCAATAAAAAGAGGAGTGAGAAGATTCTTGCGGCTGCATGATGTTGATAGTGGACGATTGCGACTTTCAAGAAGAAATTTCATAAAACAGCATCCTGAACTACATCATGTGTTCATGAAGTTTCTAGTGTTGCAAGACATGAGAAACTTTTTGGCCAAGCAAGATGAGTTGTTTGCTTTTTTATGGTTTCTTGTTGAGTGGTTCGAAGATGCTGATTTGGAAATGTTATTGGAGTTGGAGGATTTTTTCGTGTTGTATCATGAAAATCACAACAACATCTACCTACAGAGAGAAGTCAGCATCTTCATGTTCCATCATCAGTCGCTGGCATCGGAAATGAATAGATTTGTGGCATCACAATCACATTACTTGGTAAGTCTACATTTATCAGATGAATGTTAAAAGGAATCAGAATATCCAAATGACTGGATTTTTGAATATAGATTCTTGGCAATTTATTTTAATAAAATGAATTTTTTATTTCAGGACGATGATGCTGCAACGATTACATCAATCTATTCGTATCCGGAGTCATCTGAAACATCAACATTTGCTGAAGAAACCAAGAGCATGCAAGCCGAAGGCAACGAGAAGCCCAAAAAGAAGAAGGGGTTATGGAGGGTTATCAAACGAATCTTCTGTTGCGGAGTTCCTGAGGATGACGAAGCGGAAGGGTTTCCTTTAAAAGTTGAGTGAAAAGGTAGGGGGGTAAGGGATTAAATTCGCAGGGATGGGAGGGGGTGTAGGGTGTCGGGGATTAAAGTAGAGGGGAAGGTTTTTCAGGTAGGGTGTAGGGGTAGGAGGTAAAAGGTGGGTGGGAACGGCGAGAAGAGCCTCAACAAATCTATCTGGGAGTGGCGCCCCAGTGACGCCAAGGGAAGGAATTAAAGTAGCGGGGTGAGGGTTTCTTGAGGTAGGGATTAAAGTCACGGGGTGGGGGGTTCTCGAGGTAGGGATTAAAGTAGCGGGGTGGGGGGTGTTCTTAAGGTAGGGGGTTGAGGGATTAAATTCGCAGGGATGGGAGGGGGTGTAGGGTGTCGGGGATTAAAGTAGCGGGGAAGGTTTTTCACATAGGGTGTAGGGGGAAGGGGTAAAAGGTGGGTGGGAACGGCGAGAAGAGCCTCAACAAATCTATCTGGGAGTGGCGCCCCAGTGACGCCAAGGGAAGGAATTAAAGTAGCGGGGTTGGGGGGTTCTGGAGGTAGGGATTAAAGTCACGAGGTGGGGGGTTCTCGAAGTAGGGATTAAATTAGCGGGGTGGGGGGTATTCTTAAGGTAGGGGGTTGAGGGATTAAATTCGCAGGGATGGGAGGGGGTGTAGGGTGTCAGGGATTAAAGTAGCGGGGAATTTTTTTCACATAGGGTGGAGAGGTAGGGGGTAAAAGGTGGGTGGGAACGGCGAGAAGAGCCTCAACAAATCTATCTGGGAGTGGCGCCCCAGTGACGCCAAGGGAAGGAATTAAAGTAGCGGGGTTGGGGGGTTCTGGAGGTAGGGATTAAAGTCACGAGGTGGGGGGTTCTCGAAGTAGGGATTAAATTAGCGGGGTGGGGGGTTTTTCGAAGTAGGGATTAAAGTAGCGGGGTGGGGGGGTGTTCTTAAGGTAGGGGGTTGAGGGATTAAATTCGCAGGGATGGGAGGGGGTGTAGGGTGTCAGGGATTAAAGTAGCGGGGAATTTTTTTCACATAGGGTGGAGAGGTAGGGGGTAAAAGGTGGGTGGGAACGGCGAGAAGAGCCTCAACAAATCTATCTGGGAGTGGCGCCCCAGTGACGCCAAGGGAAGGGATTAAAGTAACGGGGTTGGGGGGTTCTTGAGGTAGGGTAAGGGTTTATTTGTTTAAAAAGATGGACGACTTAATTCAAATGTGCGCGTTCGTTTTTTAAGCTTTTTTTTGCGAACGATGCATTAATCCTCTATAAACAGGTTATTATAACTTATTGGAAAAGTCTTTAGAGGGGGATGAGGGTGGGACTGTCCATCAAAAAAGTCATTTCTGTCAATCTGTCTGTTCGTGTCCGTCTGTCATAAACCATTTATTAATCATTCTTTTCCAGCTTTTACCATTCTTATTATTTTACTGAAGAATTGGACCTAGTCCAATCTATTCACAACAAATAATATCCAAACCAACGGGTTGTCATAACAAGAGTAAAAGCCCAATAAAGCCTTGACGAGAGCCCAACATTCATGATTGATAGCCATGCCGTTCGGAATTACAGCTTGAGAATCAGTTTGTTGGGGACGGAAAGTGCCAGTGGCAATGAAATTCGTTGACCTCCTGTTGAGTAGACTAAATGGTAGCGCTTCTGGCAAGGTCTGCAACACCCTTAATGAAAGATGCATCACGGCATTTAATGTAACCCGGTGTATGTGTTCCGATAACAGCTTTTGCCATAGTTTATAAAACTTGGCTACTCTGTTTGATGCAACTAGTTGTTTAACGACAGTTGATCGATTTAAGAAGGAGCGACCAGAAAAGAAAACGACTCATTTTAGTCTTTTATTTGGAGGGACTCGTTCTGTTGACCTTCACGAGGTGAGTCCTGTGATCTTTTCTATTTCGATGGAAAAGAGGCCGACAAACAGAAGTTGTGAATTGGATTGGATAATTTTGGAATTCAAAATGTTTGAGGATTTGACTTTTTTTTTGTGTAATTCTTAAAATGTGAATTTATTTTGTCTTCAATCTTAAAATGTGAACTTTTCGTCTTCAATTCTTGAAATGTGAATTTTTCGTCTTCAATTCTTGAAATGTGAATTTTTCATGTTCAATTTTTTGAAATGTGAATTTTTCATCTTCAATTCTTGAAATGTGAATTTTTCGTCTTCAATTTTTGAAATGTGAATTTTTCATCTTCAATTTTTGAAACGTGAATT